AAATCTCTTTCCCACCAAAAGGATTATCTTTCAGCAGGCAGATAGATAGATTGATAGATAGATAGATAGATAGATAGATAGATAGATAGATAAATAAAAGAGTAAAGATTTGCACTAAGTATTCTATATAAACTCTAAGACTACAATGTAAAATTCTTATATAAACGGTGACATATTCCAAAGGGAATTTTAAAAGTACGAAATAGATCAAAGATCTAAAAGTAAGACCTGAAACTATAAAACTACTAGAAGAAAACATAAAGGAAATGCTTCAGGACACTGGTCTGGGAAAAGAGTCTATGAATAAGATCTCAAAAGCATAGGCAACAAAAGCCAAAATAAACAAATGGGGTTATATCAAAAAGCTTCTGTACAGCAAAGGAAACAATCAACAGAGTGAAAAGATAACTTACAAAATGGAAACAGATAGTTACAAGCTATTTATCCAAGAGGGGATTAATATCCAGAACATACAAGGAACTCAAACATCTCAACAGAAAAAAAATCGATTAAAAATATGTAGATTATCTGAACAGACATGTCTCAAAAGACACAAAAATGGCCAAGAAATATATGAAAAAATTCTCAACATCACTAATCATTGGGGAAATGCAAATCAAAACCAAAATGACATACCATCTCACCCCAGCTGGGTTGGCTATTATCAAAAAGTCAAAAAATAACAAACCCTGGTGAGGATGCAGAGAAAAGGAAACTGTTAAACACTGTGGGTGGGAATGTAAACCAGCACAACCACTACGGAGAACAGTATGGAAGTCCCTCAAAAAACTACACACATGGATACACACACTGAAACAAGCAGAACCACCACATGATCCATCAATCCCACTACTGGGTATTTACTCAAAGGAAAGGAAATCAGTGTATTGAAGACATGTCTGCACCCCCATGTTTACTGCAGCACTATCCACAATTGACAAGATATGGAATTAACCTAGGTGCCCAACAACAGACGAATGGTGAAGGAAATGTGGTATACGTACACAATGGAATACTATTCAGCAATAAAAAAGAATAAAATCCTGTCATTCACAGCACTATGGATGGAACTGGAGGTCATTATGCTAAGTGAAATAAGCTAGGAACAGAAAGTAAAACACTACATATTCTCTCACTCACATATGTAAGCTAAAAAAAAAATGTTGATCTCATAGAAGTGAAAAAGCAGAACAGAGGATACTAGAGGCTGGGAAGGGTGGGGGAAAGGGTGAGAGAGGGAGAGATTTGTTAAGATACAAAATTTCAGCTAGATAGGATGAATAAATTGTAGTGTTTTATAGCATTACAGGATGACTGTACTTAATGATTATAATGTATTACATAATTTAAAATAGTTCGAAGGAGAATATTGAATGTTCCCAACATAGAGAAATGATCAATGTTTGAGATGATGGATATGCTAATTACCCCAATCTGATCACTATACATTATACTATGGAAATATCACTATGTACCCCATAAACATGTACAATTACTATATATCAATTAAAAATAAAATAAAAATTTACATGTACAGGGTGGTTTGGTAAAATTTCATGAACATGGCATTTGTTAATTAAATGATTTTTTACTGTAAGTAGCTTAAAGAAGCAAATGAAAACTAAACTTACTTGTGTACATAAACTGCATTTATAACCAAAGTTTTGAAATCAGTAAAAGACAAATGGCAGCCAGAGTTCTCATTCTTAAAGGTATAACTCAGGCTCCATTACCAAATATTATTTCTCTTTTGTACTTTACCCTAGTAATTAAAATAGAAAGATTAAACAAGAGAATTCAGAGAGATTTCTTTTTCCTTCACCAATAGTGAGCTGGTGATAATGATGTCTATTTAATGTCCTTCTTAAATTACTTCCCATGTCAGTTTCACCAAGCTCAGGAACTCATACCTCAAAGGAAATCACACACTTGTTTGCTCATCCAGAATTCTGAACAATGATGACCCTGAGGCCTTGTATTGTGTGACCAGTAGGAGCTGTTGATCAACACTGGCATTTTTCTCCCAATGGAACATAGATTTTTTTTTAAGTTTCTATTTTATTCTCTATGATCCAAGTGAGACTGAGTCTAAGAGATTTGGTTTCTATAAAGGAAGGTTGTTGTAGGCCTACTGGTTTCCTGCCTGTTCAAAACGGTCTAGATACATCACCTTCTGGTAATAGCAGCAGAATGTCCAAATCTACTCACAGGTACATCAGATAAACAACTGGATATAGCCTTGATGTGAATTTGAACAGCACATGCATTTAAACTGACTGTCTTGAAGCCCACAGAAAATATAAACTCTGTTAAAATTCACGCTTCCTTGCATTCAGATGCTCTAAGGTTTCCATGTGTTTCTGAAGCAAACAAACCTGAAGGTCTAGCAGGTGTACAACTGAGCATTCATGAGACCCGATTATGTGTGATAATAAGGTCCCTCATTGCCCCTGTATCCCCAGGACACAGAACAACTGATTAATTTTTGGAGTCAAAGATGTATCTTTCCGTTGCATGAACAATTACCGTTCAGAGCCTCCTTTCACAAGAAGAACCAACAAACCTAAGAAGTCATGACTCATCCCCAGTGAAGAGACTCAGCCTTTGTTTCAGCCCCACATTCCTCAGACGGTTTCCAACATCAACTTCCTATTCTGTGTGGGATATCCTATCCCTTCCTGTGTGTAATCTTCCTAGTGTCCACAGACCTCCTTAAATCAATAAAATTTCAAATGGATATTTTATATTTATAATCACCCAAGAAGTGAGATTATAGTCAGAGAGAATGCATTGTCACTGAAGTCAAAGGAATAATTCGGACTTTAAAACACTGATATATCTGTGTTCGTAAAGCACGGACATAAGACTCTTTTCAACAGAGTAACCAGACTATAGGAAATGGCCCAAAAGCAGCAGGGATCAACTCAGATCCATTTGCACCACCCAGATTGAGAAAGTCCAGCAGTGTTAGCAGATTCAGGAATATGCTGGGAAGTGAAGAAGCTGCAAAATAAAAGCCCCTTAGAATAAGCATTATGCTGAAAATCTATCAAAATTAAACCCAGCAGCTCGCTTCTTCTATCACAAGACCTCATTTTGGGAACAAAATAAATAAAGGTTAGGTGTTATAATGTTGTTCACATTATAAAAGCAAACGAGTGTCTGTTATTATGAAAGAAAAAAAAAGAGTGTCACATTATTCTGGCTGATCATTTTGTAAGAATTATTTACTGTGAGCACAGAACAGATTCTGATAATGAGATGATATTAAAGGAGTAATTTTCTCAAGACACTCAATTTTCCTAAGAAGTAAGAAACAGCCTGGTCCTGCATCCACACTGGCTTTTCAGGGTTGCTCCAAGTATTTTCAAATGAGCTTAACAAGCTCCTTATTTCATCTTAAACCTCTGCTACAGGAATTAAGGTCCAGGGATGGGTTTATTTTTGTTGTTGTTGTTGCTGTTGCTGTTGTTGTGTTTTGCTACAATCCAAGTCTGTCAGATCCAATTATTTGTTCCAAGGAGACTGTATTCATTTAGTTGAATATAAGAAAACCAAGGACAAGAATATTATTCAAACTGCCATAGGGCCTCTTATCTCCATGAAACCAAGGCTACAGGTGGAAGGACAGTCTCAAATACCAGCGACAGAGGTGGCCCAAAAGACCCTCAGGAATTCCCACTTGCTCAAGGTCACATGCTATTAAGAATCCCAGTCCCACCTGAAGTAATTATATGACAATGCTAAATTTCCTCCACCACCTCTATTGAGATTTAACTCGGGACTCAAAAACTAAGCAAGTACATATTTTGAAGGCTGCCATTACCACAACAGCAACTCAGTGGCAGGAATCAGAATCAGTATCTGCCATTCTGAGATCACTTAACCATGTGAATTTATGAAGCTGGGTTAAATGCTCCTAATGCAGCTTCCAACTTTATGACCCTGTGATTCATGTGCTATAAATTAATAATAATGTTCAGGAAAAGGGAAGGGAGAGAGAAGGAGAGGAAGTGGAGGAGAAAGAGAAAGACATGTGGTAGGCTCAGAAAGGCAAGCACCGTACAACACACAGAAAAGGTACAGAGAAGGGGAAGGACAGACCCCAAAGACTTCGCTGGCCGTATTAACATAAACAATCTTCAGGTCAGCATAGAAGGTGTCACTAAGTAAACTAAACTTCTCATTATTATTGAACTCAGGAGTAAATCAATAACAACGTTAAGAGTTCATGCAGTTTCACCATAACATTCCCATTAAAATCTTCCACGTTTCTTTGCTGAAGCCTCACATGTTCCCTAGAGAAAATGCTCATTCAAAAGAAGGAAGTTTACAAATGTGTGGCCTTTTTTCATTGAGCATTAGGTTATCCCATAAAACAGAAGTAAAGAAGGCATATGTGGAGTTATGTTTCATTAGCGTAGTTACGTAAGTAGCCTTCAAAAGTTACAGAGTGAAACTCAGGTGTCACAAACTTCTGTCTTCTCACATTAGACCCTGTCAAGACATACTACAGGGCTCTCTTAGATCACAAATGAGAACTAACAATGTTGTTTGTTATGAGTACGAAGTTTTAATTTTATATTCTAAAAGCATAATAATGAATCAAATGAAAGAAAAACCTAGATGTGTACCAGAAAATTAAAAGTCAATGGTTAGTGAAATTCATAACAGAACACACTTTTCAGCAAAATCAAGTAATTTAAGACCAGAATAATGATGCTGAAGATGAGACTGATTCCTCGTAGTTTCACCATCAGCCTGTATGAAGGCAATCGATGACATATGTAATTTACGAGACATATGTGAAACATACGGGTAGATGATTGGTTAATAATTTCCTTTAGAAAAAAAGAAGATACTTGGAGATTAATGGGAAAAAAACACAGGGAATAAAAGGGGAGAAACTCAGTCCTATTACAACTGTTATTATCTTATTTTTGTCAGTGAAATATGACATTAAAGCAACACAGAATGGGAGGGAGCCACACTGCACTCACCTGCTTCTCTGTGAGAATGACCCTCCCGAGTAACTGATCTTCTAGACCTTTCATGGTGACAGTGAAGTCAATGATGGAGGTACGGGCACTTATCTCAGGGGTGTAGGCTGGGTTAGGCAGTTTGGTGGTAATGTAGAGTCTAAAGCCATCCAACACATCTACTTCCTTGTCACCAACTTTCACCTTTTATATAAAAAGAAATTTAAAAGTAATAAAACAGAGATATACCTTACTATGTCTTTTTTGTATCAGATCAAGTATTGTTTTAAATAATGACATAACTGGAGATCATTTGTATACTAAAAAAGAAATGGTCATGAGGTATCTGCACAGCTTCAGACAACTAGGAGGAAAGGAAGGAAGCAAAGAAGGATGGAAGGAAGACTGAATATAGAATTTAACACCAAAATTGTGATCACATTGCAGGAGTGAGATGGATCCCTTACCCAAAATTCAGTTCAGAGGTTGAGACTGATGATGCTACACATGCATCAAAAGAGTATAAAAAGGCTTATTACTCACATGATGAGACTGTGGGAGAGATCAGAGCAGGTTCCTAAACAGGTCCCAAAAACTGGCTTGAGAGAGCAGGGAGGGGCAGCTGCTCTAGGACTTTACGGTATTTAGGGGTAGAGCTGGGCTGAGGGTTCCCACACATAGGTGTGGACAGGCGGTTGCATGGTTTGAATTTTCAACTTGTGCCAAAGGAGGGGGCACCCAGGTTTTATCAGCTTGCCCAGATGTGAGTGGGGCAGAAGGGGAGAGGGGAATGGAGAAGCTTCAAAACTATCAACATCAAGAGGCAGTCAGACCCCTTCACACACTACAAAAGTGAAGTCAATATTCCTAAAGGGATTGCTCTTGGATATTTTAATCCAAAGTCAAGAAGTGTAGAAGAGAAAAACAAACCTTTCCCATGGACTCAAATTTAAGTTGCTGCCTATTAAGAGAATTCTATCTATGTCACATTGACCTGGCCTCATGGTAACTGTTCTGCACATTGTTATCCACACATTTAACTTACCTTAAAGGTAGACCCAGTTTTAATGAAGTTTCTTTCCAAAACATTATCTAGTGCTGGATCTAGTTCCTCTCCAACATCTTCAATAAGCAAGGGCCTTCCAAGAGAAAGGCTGTCTTCCAGGTGGTTTCTGAAGTACTTGTGATTTAAAGACGTGATCTAGAAACAGGATCACAAGGTTCAAGGTTGCTGTTGACAGACATTATTATGAAGCAAGCACAGGGGTAACTGTTTTCAAAAGAAGCCTAAAGCATTCTACTGCAAGAGGTAAATACAAATTGAGCATCCAAAATGTCCCAAAATACAAAACTTGTTGAGAGTCCACATGACGCCACAGTGGAAAATTCCACACCTGACTGACCCTTGTGCTTTCTGATGGTTGAATGTACACAAACTTTGTTTCATGCATAAAATTGTTTTAAATACTCTATAAAATTATCTTCAAGTATATGAATAAGGTGTATATGAAACATAAATGAATTTCATGTTCTGACTTGGGTCCCATCCTCAAGTTATCCCATTATGTACATGTAAATATTCCAAAATCTAAAATCTGAAACACTTCTGATCCCAAGTATTTAGGATAAGGGGTCATTCACCTTTTACATAGATTTTTAGAGATCCTGGATTTTGAAACCCACACTTGGTGAAATTGTAAAGAAGGTTAATTGTTTCCATTGTTGTTTAGCAAACCATTATTTTGTTTTATTGGGAAGCATGTAAAGGTTCTGTGTGGCAGCAATGTTTTTTCTTCACCACTACCACTTTTGTGACAAATAATAATGTGATAATTAGGAAGTATTCATGCAAAATGCTGCAGACTTTGCGTGATACAGCTCTGCCATTCTCTACTCATCAAAGAGAGCCCTGGACCCTGACAGAATAGTCTGAAACCATTGAAAGATGGCATTGGTAGAGATTAACACATATGCAAATAATGAAAGTTTTAGAAAATATTTTCATATTAGATTGAAGCTTGCATCTGCTACTGCTCTACCTAGGATTACAAAAACATCTCTAATGTTTTCAAATATTTCTTTACTCTTGGATTTTTGTTTATCTGAGGCAATAAAACTTAACCGGCAACATAAACATACTAATACACAAATTACCTGGAGTTCATTTTGGCTTTCTTTATTTTTAATCCAGATCTTGCCTTGAGTCTGTGGATCAATTAACAAAGGGTGACGAGATGCCTTCGTGACAATAATTCCATTTTGAATGGACAGGTCATCATTTGGCAGACCTTGGAGGTTCCATTCACTAATAGTAGGAGCATCAATCAACATCTCATTGAGATTTAGGTTCTTTCCAAATGGAATTTTCCGGGCTTTCATTTCTTTCCGCCAGTCATTTAACAGAAGATCACGAAACTCTTGGTTAAATGGACCAGAATAAGATAGAAAAGCTGTAGCCAACAGTACATCCCCTAAAACAGAAAACAAACACCACTGAAATACTTTAGGTTCATCCTTGTAATTGTACAGCATATTAAAAATGAAAAAAATGTAAAAGACAGTAATTCTTTTAAACTAAATTCCACAAATCAAACTGGAAGCACGTGTGGCTGTGCAAGTGAATAAGCAGTAGTCTGGTTTATTAGTCAATAGGGTCCAAGTGGCCTACCGAGTGATACCTGCTAGTAGTCAAGCACTGGATTATTTTTACTCTCATTAAAAGTGAAAAGACAACCTCTAAGTTTAAGAGAATCAAACCTCCTAAGACAGAGCCTTCATTAAATGTGACCTTGATCAATATACCCATGTACTCACAGAATTCTAAAGTGACCTGATAATAAAAGGCATAAAGATAGTTAACACATCTAATAAGGACAGCACAGATGCCAGACCAATGTCTCTTTCTCTGAAATACCTGGAGAAACACACACACACACACACACACACACACACAGAGGAATTTGAAATAATCAAGCATTGTTTTTTATTTGGATTAAAGTATAAGCTGTCTAAAGTATAAGCTGTCTAATTCCCTATCACAGTCAACACACAATCTCATTAATAAAGCAATTTACATACCTACAAGTCTTTTAGTTTGTGCAGCAAACTCTTGGCTTTGCTGTGTCCATCTTTCTTTTTCACCTGCCAAGCCACTGATGAGCGTGGAAGCTGTCTGCATCTTGTGTCGGCATCGCTCTGCATCTTCAAGTAAGGTCTAACAAGAGTCATAATCACAAGAAAACTTTTACTGAAATAAATATAGCCTCTGGCTCAAAAATGTAACTGTAGAACATGCCATATTATCTGCCTTCCTGGGACATGTGAGCCATTACTTCACAAGAAGCATGACATTCTATTTCTATGTGTCTGTCTGTCCAGTCCTCTCTCTTTTGCCCTGTCCTCTATCTTATCCCCTGCCCATGGAACTTGGCTGGATGGAGTTTCGCTCTTGTTACCCCAGCTGGACTCCAATGGTGCGATCTCAGCTCACTGCAACCTCTGCCTCCCGGGTTCAAGCGATTCTCCTGCCTCAGCCTCCCAAGTAGCTGGGATTATAGGCATGTGCCACTACGCCCCATTAATTTTGTATTTTTAGTAGAGATGGGGTTTCTCCATGTTGGTCAGGCTAGTCTCAAACTCCCAACCTCAGGTGATCCACCCACCTCAGCCTCCCAAAGTGCTAGGATTACAGGCATGAGCCACCATACCTGGCCGGTGCTTAGTTCTTAAAAACAAATGGCTCCAGTGGCTCACGCCTGTAATCCCAGGACTTTGGGAGGCCATGAAGTGGGTGGATCACTTGAGATCAGGAGTTCAAGACCAGCCTGACCAACATGGTGAAACCTCATCTCTACTAAAAACACAAAAATTAGCCAGGCGTGGTGGCAGGCGCCTGTAATCCCAGATACTTGGGAGGCTGAGGCAGGAGAATTACTTGAACCCAGGAGGTGGAGATTGCAGTGAGCCAAGATCGTGCTGCTCAAATCCAGCCTTGGCAACATAGTGAGACTCTGTCTCAAAAAAACACAAAAAGCAAAAAACAAATGGCTCTGTTTCTTAGTGTTTAAGCAACAATTGCTTATTCTACTTGTAAAAATCTAAACTTATGAAATAAAATGGGTATGGACAAAGGTTTAGCTACATGACAAGTCATTGGGTGTTCAAATATATATATATATACACGTGCTAAGTGTCTAACAATAGAGGATTATTTAAATAAATTATAGTGTATCCATGAATAAGAATACTCTGAAGCCATCAAAAAAAATCCTATAAAAATTTTTATGACCAAGAAAGAAGAGCACAGTATATTAAGTTAAAAATTCAATTTATAAAATGGTATTCCTAAATTATCAGTTATGTTGAGTTTAAAACGCATGTGAAAGGCATATATTATGATATGAATAATAACAGAATATGATTCATGTTTATCTCCAGGGTTACCTGTATTTTCCATAGAGACATGAATTGCTTTTGTAATAATAACACATTACAGTGCTTTTCAAAAGCAGCATATTTATTCCGCATATTCAGCATATTTTCTTCCTCTAGAGTTAAGGCAAAAAAACTAACAGTCCATCAGACAGGCACATCCCCTAACCACAGCCCCTCACATCTGTTTGTTTCCTTCAAGAAGGAAGGTGCCAGTTGGGAAGGACAATCCTACATCGTTTATTAGAAAAAAAAAACCTTTTTATTTGTAAGATACTTTTAATATTGATTTGCTTTCACTAAATTCTTCAATCCCAATTCCATCAGCCAAATCAGAAAATGACCAGGCCTCTCCCTTTCTGGCTTTTGTTTTCTGGAAGCCCAGGCTTCTTTGGGGAATTACGGTTTGGGAGAAGAGAAAGGAGCAAATGTTGAGAATGCAAGAGAAAGAAAACCGTAAGTTCTGTGTGTTCCCCCCAGCCTGTTGAGGGGAGCACACGGGACTTACTGGGTTCCCTGAGTAGTACCCCCATCCTCAGCCCACTCTCTCATAGGTCCCAGAGAGGTGACCAGCTCTCCTCCAGGCCTAGGCAAGCTGAACCCTAGGCAAAGGCACTGGCTTCTGCATGGGGCGTAGCCAGGACACACTCCCCTTCAATGGGCCATGCAGGCCTGGGCCATGGTGAACTGTAGATTGGAACCCTTCTCCTGCCTTCTGGGAGGCCCACAAACCCCCGGACTTTCATGGAGTCCTATGGAGGGAGAAGAGCAACAAAAATGACTGAAGATCAAGTTCAGAAGTTGGTTGTAGGAATGTCCAGATTTTTTATTTTTTTAATAAGGAATTTGACATTTGTTAAAATTCAAGTTTTAGAGTTAGAGCCATAATGTTACAGTTCTTCTGTGCTCCCATGATTATTTACCTAACAAATAGCAGATGCTCCAAAACAATAAAGCTTGCTGAATGAATTAAGGTAAAAATGTTAAAATTTACACATAATAAAATGAGAAGGTAAAATATTTTCCCTGTGTTCAGTAGAGCTTCCTGATACAAATAACCACCCAAAATGGTAGAAATTAACACTCCTTCCAAAGTAGATTCTTTCAAACTGCCATAATGTTTTCCATACATAAGTGAATTTTATGAGGCATAAGTATACAAATCCACACAAGTGCTACTTCTTTTTTATAATTGAATTTTCATTTTAAGTTCAGGGCTACCTGTACAGGTTTGTCATATAAGTAAACTTGTGTCATGGGGGTTTGTTGTGCAGATTTTTTCACCACCCAGGTATTAAGCCTAGTACTTGTTATTTTTCCTGATCCTCCCCCTCCTCCCACCCTCCACTCTCCAATAAGCCCCAATGTGTGTTGTTCCTGTCTATGCATCCATGTGTTCTCATCATTTAGATTCCACTTACAAGTGAAAATATGTGGTATTTGCTTTCTCAGTTCCTGTGTTAGTTGCTAAGGATAATGGCCTCCAGTTCCATCTATGTTCCTGAAAGGACACAATCTCATTCTTTTTTATAGCTGCGTAGTATTCCATGGTGTACGTGTACCACATTTTCTTTATCCAGTCTATCACTGTTGAACATTTAAGTTGATTCCATGTCTTTGCTATTGTGAACGGGACAGCAATGAACATACTCACACATGTGGCTTTATAACAGAACGATTTACATTCCTTTGGGTATATATCAAGTAATGGGATTGCTGGGTCAATGGTATTTCTGTTTTTAGGTCTTTGAGGAATTGCCACACTATCTTCCAGAATGGTTGAACTAATTTAACTCTGATCAACAGTGTATAAGCATTCTTTTTCTCCGCAATCTCACCAGCATCTGTTGTTTTTTGACTTTTTCATAGTAGCCGTTCTGACTGCTGTGAGATGGTAACTCACTGTAGTTTTGACTTGCATTTCTCTAGTGATCAGTGATATTGAGCTTTTTTTCACATGATTATTGGCTGCATGTATGTCTGTTTTTGAAAAGTGTCTATTGCAACGAAAGCGAAAACTGGCAAATGGGATCTAATTAAAACAAAGAGCTTCTGCACAGCAAAAGAAACTATCAACAGAGTGAAGAGACAACCTATAGAATGGGAGAAAATTATTGCAAAATATGCATCTGAAAAAAATCTTAATGTCCAGGATCTATAAGGAACTTAAAGAAATTCACAATAAAAAAAAAATCTCATTAAAAAGTGGGCAAAGGACATGAACAGACATTTTTCAAAAGTGCTACTTCTTTAAAGCTTCCAAAAGCTTTTACTTTGCTTGCAGAAGACTTTTCTTTATGAGAATATACCATACATTCTACAGATAGTGAAATTGAAATGTTTATCTAAACTCTTATTGGGACCCCTGTAAAACTAACAAGGCAGGAATTTCAATTCTGCCAAGTAAAGGCTGAGAAGAGGTAGGGGTGAATGTCATAAAATTATCAAAGTAAAACAGAGTGAATCTAGCTATTATCTACCAAATACAGGATTTATCAGAGGCAGATACAGATTTTATTAAGCCAAAAGTTTATATGCTCTAGGGAGACCACTTTATTAAAAAAAACAAAAAAACAAAAAAAACCCAGTATGTATTTAAGAGAAAAAAAGTGACAAAATCCTGGTTACTTAGAAACTCAGGTACTTTTCCTCTGTGATCTCTTTAGACATTTGACTTGAATGCTCTAAAATGAGAACAAAGATAGGTAAGGCACTGGGCTGCCTTGGTCCATGCCTGTAATTCCAACATTTGGGAGGCCAAGGCAGGTGTATTGCTTAAGCCCAAGAGTTCAAGACCAGCCTGGGCAACATGGTGAAAACTTGTCTCTATAAAAAATTAGCCAGGCATGGTGGTGAATGCCTGTAGTCCCAGCTACTTGGGAGGCTGAGGTGGAAGGATCATTTGAGGCCAGGAATTCAAGGCTGCAGTGAGCCATGATCATGCTACTGCATTCCAGCCTGGATGACAAAGCAAGACCTTGTCTCAATAAATAAATAAATAAATAAAGAAAGAAAGAAATAAATAAATAAATAATAAATAAATAAATCCACCCTGCCTACTTTGCAAGTTATTTCAAAGATTAAATGAGATAACATGGGAGGACACGGTTTGAAAAACATAACAAAAATGCTACTACACAAGATGCTATCATTATTACCATCCCCCACTAATAAAGAAACTCAGAATGGCTATGTTCCAGCACTGACTGCCATCTTGACTGACCATCCTGTCGTCTCACCAAAGACCCTTGGTGTCCATTATGTGCTATGTATGTATTATGTATAAATTCAGTGAATCCCCACAAAAACCCACACTCTTGGAGAGAGAAGCCATGGAGATGTGTGACAGTCCCCGCCATGACAAAGGGCAGTTACCTGCTTTTCAGTCATGGCCTGTTCATACTCAGCCTGTACCACGTCGAGTTCCGCCTGCTTGTCATCCAACTCGGCCTGGGCTTTCTGCAGATCCTGCATGGCCAGGAGATGGCGATTCTCTTGCACCACCAAGTTAGCCTGCACAGGACACGCACAGAGTGAAGAGATGGGCAGCCAATCTCAAAACGTCCCTCATTTCAGGGTCTGAGAACTCAACTACACCGCGTGTTAATACCTTTGCTTTGTTCCAGCTCCAGAATCCTTTCAAATCACATTAAGTCCTGAACAAATCTTAATGTGAATTTGACATAAATGTGTATAAGCAGAAAGTTACCGTTCATTAGAAAGGGGGTCAGCAAATATTTTCTTTAAAGTGCCAGATAGTATATATTTTGGGCCAACAGGCAAAATCAAAATTATTGCTCATGTACTTATTTTAGAACTATTTAAACATGTAAAAACTACTCTTATTTCACAAGCCATCCAAATATAGGTAGTGGGCTAGATTTGGCCCACGGGTCACAGTCTGCCTAGATCAGAACACTGTAATATTAAATGTATATAGGTAAATTATAAAACATGCTAATATTAAGAGTTGTAGAAGAAACAGTATTTAGAACTATCTGCCTAGCAGGACTCATCACTGTTGAGGAATAATAAAGGATGGAAAATGATTATGTACTGATTATAAACATCTAGGTTTTGTGTATCGTGGTGGTCTTGACATTGTTCCTGTCACTTTCACATATTTCTTGCCTTCTGGAAAGCATATTTGATACCCTGAGCTGTGACTAATTAAAAACGTTTGTTTTAAAGAAGCTATTAAGATACAATCAAAAGACTTAACCAAAAGCAATATTAGCAAAAGATGAGATGTAAAAAAGTAGTTCATGCCTAAGAAATTTAGATCCTTTAAAATCATTTTTTGAAACCAAATTTTTCCCTTTCAAATTTACAAAATGTTAATATTGACTTTCATGGGATGACTAGAGGGCACAGTCTTTCTGAAGCATTTGAGAAAAGATGATTTTTAAAACACTTTTGAAATAAATTATTTTCCTATCTCAAAACGTCAGGCTTCCAAATTTGGGCAGAATAAATCTTTAAGGAAAACCTCAAGAGTTCCATAATTGACTAGATCCAGTGATAGGCAAAAGCATCGCTTGTAAGTTACAATTTAAAAAGAACCTGACTGGTGGAACATTTTTTCCTCAGCTCTGCAGTAAGCTGCAACTGTTGCCATGGCTCCAACACGGAAGGAAAAAGTAAGGTCACCATGTTAAGCAACTTACAAATTAAAGTCACCTACTAATGACAAACTATTGCAAACCCAAAGAATTTGAACATTTTCTAGTACTTTACTCACCAATAAATAAATAAAATTTTTATTAAACGAAGCTGTCAACAATTGCTAATCAAAATCCTTCAAACTCAATTAATTGCTCAACTTAGGAGTTGTAGAACTCTGTGCAGGTAGCTTAAACCCGGTGAGCTTCAGTTTCTTCATTAAAATATTGAAAAACTAACTCCTAGGACTTTTTGAAAGGATTAAATAAGAAAACATATGTAAAATCCCAAGTCTAGTCCCCAGCACATGAGTTCAATAAACAGTAGATGTTGTTACTGTTATTATTCATGTACAATATTTAAGTTCTGCTTTTTTATAACATCCTCTTTATTTGTACCTATACTGATTTCCATGAAGTTTTACAGGAGAAATCTCATTATAAGGAACTTGAATAGAATCTAAATTGCTATTGCTGTAATTCATACTTGTTTGAATTTATTCACTACTAGAAGTCACTTAGCCCAACTATAAGTATTGCAAGATGAAAGACAGCAGCTCCTCAGTGTGTCCATTACTAATTAGTGTCTAAGAGATTCCACCTGAAGTTTACCGAATGCCCTTGACCTCTCCTCATTTAAGAAGCAGGGGATTGCAAGTGAAGCCCCAGAGGAAGAAGGGAAGTTAAAGGCTTAGGTCTGAATTTCTTAATATATTCAATAGAATCACCTGGTGACAATATGTACTCACTTCCTCTTCTACTCCTCCCTACACAGCAAACATGGATCTGTGTAACAGCATGTATTTTTCTGACTGACGTAAGAGGAACCTGACAAGCTGTGTGGTCCAAGATGCTAGATACTTATAAGAATATAAGAGATCAGACTTCTCAGAAAGAAAACACAGGTTGTAGGAGCAAATAAAAAGGTTCCCACTTCTGATACTGTTCCCTTCCCTTCCTACTGTAGGACCCAGATTGTCTTGAGACAAGCTGAAAGCTGAAATGTGGATGGCATTGAACACAGGGGAAGAGATCTCATTGTTCTTATGCAAGCCTTGTTCAGAATGTCCATGTTTAAAGATTTCAGCTATGTACTTAAAATAACAATAATAACAGAAAAAACTATGCATCATGAACTTAATTGTAGTTCTCTTTAAGACACTATGCATGGTTACTCACTGGAAAAGTATGCGAAGAATGATCTGTACTTTTCACTTGATATAAATATTGGCTCTAATTCAGTCAATATCAGATTGTCCATTTTTGAGCTACGCTGAAGTCTTCAATAGTCACAATATCCATGGTGTCAGACAGCATGACATCAATTATTTGCTCTGAAATTCTCGGACTCACATGACTCTTTGTCCCTTTAGGTTGTCCTAGGACCTCAAGAGCCTCAATTGCTGAATAAATGGTCTTGGTATCACAACAAGTAGAAACAAAATAGAATTTGCAACTCTATGCCTATCTTCCTGATACTCTTGATTACTTGTATAATGATTATTAAGTTTCCTGGGTAGTTTACAAGTATAAGTAGAATTTAGTTGATGAATAAGAAATATGAGACTCATACAAAAGCAAAATAATCAACCAAGCCATGAGATATGATTTTGAGACTTCAGCATTTCATTTTCAAAAAACACACTCTCCATTGCCTCTCCATTTGCTGAAGACTGCCTCTTTTAATGGTAGGGGAATATGCAAAAATGAAGCTTAAGTATTCAATTACACAAAGGAAACATAAAGCGTGTCTAAAAAGTCACATTAAATAACAACTATTCAGATATTCAGTTTCTTTCCTGAGAGACAAAACAAAAATGGAAAAGGGAGGAATATGTCATGCCTTAAGCCAAGCTAAGACCAGCTTCCAGCATGTTCTGTCTTGACCCTACCTCATACATAGGATTCTCTGGATACAGATCTTAAATATCAGCAGAGGATTCTATGCTACAGTTTGCGGTGTTTTTTTGTTTGTTTGCTTGGTTTTTGTTTTTTGATGTTGTTGTTGTTGTTTTTTCAAGTTTGCATTGTGGAGGAAAACTATCGAGCAGCCCACAATGGACTTGTAGTGAGCATCATTGCAGAGAGTCCGTCCCTGCTTAGAGGCTCATACGGTTCTGATTAGAGCAGGATTACAAAGAAGAAAGAAACATCCTGTGCTTGGCCTTTCTAATGCTCCCTCTCCCCATGGACCTGAGTACCCTAATACCAGAAGCCACAGGCACACGTGCTCCTGTGAAAAGATAAGATCAGCTGACCTGTAGACTCCGCCCAGCCACCGTGAAGTCTGACCTGTAGACTTCACCCAGGTCTGCCTAGGAGGCTTACCTTCAGAGGCAGCACCTCTTTGTTTATAGAAAAGAAGGAAGCCATGGCTTTCGTCCAGGAACAAAGACCAGCTACGTTTCCACATACGCGTTTAGCAGTTTCGATGTTATAGTCAGGCATTTCAAAGTAAGGACTCAAAAACTCTATCATCTCTTCATTGATTGTGTCTTTTGGGAATTGCTATGGAGGAAAAGAGTAAAACAAAGTCAAAACACTTCTTTTCATGAAGTCATACTTGCGTCATGCTCTCAATGCTACTGAAATGACTGAACGACCACAAATGAATGAAGGGCATTGTATTTTGTCACTATTTTAAGATATTAGGCAAAAGTCCTAAAGGTAAAAGCACAGTAAGAAATGATAGCAAAGAAGTCTATGAGAGCGCACTCTGTCTTCTGTAGGAAAGATACCAACCTTAAATAAATATAGTGAGATCCAGGGAAAGAGCAAATTATTTAGGTGACGAACACTAATATGGTTATTAGAATTTCCAGAGCAATAAATATTTTTTGTCATTAATCCTAAATAGATGAATTATAGCCCATAAAATCCCCAATGAAAAACAAATACAAGTGTATTCAGTCTGAGGACATATATATTTAGCATTTATCAGCAACTAAATGCTTAATACATTCAGATAGAGGTTTTATTAAACTCACCCAAAATGTGAAGATAATAACTTGGACATTAGGCTTTGAGGGTGATGAATTAATTTTTAATCACAGAACTATCAAGAATATGAGAGAATTATTATCTTCTGGTGGGATAAAAGTTTAAAATAGTAGCAGAAATGAATTAAGAATGCCTTTCTGCATCAGAAAAAGCAGACTGACCAAACAATGAAATTGGATCTTTTAAAAGTGGTGTTTGATCATTTAAAAGAGGATGATTAAATGTTTTCCAAGCAGAAAGAAATTTAGCACCTAAATAATTTAGTAACACAAACCTTCACAGTGAACACGTAACGTATAGTAGAACACACTCTCATTCAGACCTCGTTTAATGTAACCCGTGTTTATGAGACTTGAAAACTCGTAACCCAAAAAAAAAAAAAAAGCCAGATGAATGTCTGGGAGCAACAGAAGGTCAGGGGTGACAATGACAAATAGCAAGGGAGAGTCCAAGAGCAGGGGCTTTGCCACCAGGTAAATGTCAGGAACCTGGAATCACTCGTCAGGATTCCACCCAAAGTCCAAGTCCATTGACAGAATCTCATATTATAATTATCTGGGACAAGTCTGTTCGGCCCACTAGTTTCATAAGCTACTTATTGTTACAGCTGTTGTATGCGCCTCACCCCAGGTTCCAGCCACAGCGGTCACTTGAGCAATGCAGAATTGAAAACTGAAAGAAAGATGGTGCTGAATTCACAACTTGGGAAATAGAGGTGGACTGGGTATTCCCCATGAATTGCTTTGAGATTTGAACATGAAAGAAAAGACAATAAAGCTTCCAGAAGAAAACTAGAAACCTGCCTTGGATGTGGGCAAAGATCGCCTAAACAGAACATAGAAAGCACTATTAGGGAAAATATTAATAAATTGGACTACATTAAACCTAAGAATTTCTGTTTATCAAAAGACACCATTAATCCAGGGAACAACTAATGCCAGAAAGCTGCAGAAGATATTCGCAAACATATAAATGACAAATTAGTCATATTTTATATATAAGGAAATTCTACAAAGTAATAAAAAAAAATTAACTGGACAAGCAATTCCAACAGGCACTTAACAAAAGAATTCCCCAGAGGCTCATAAGCCTATGGAAAGGTTGGGAGATACAAATTAAATCAACAATAATAAGACACTACTACAAACTCATCAGAGTAGCTAAAAGTAGAAAACAGTGAGGATGTTGAGCAACTCAGACACTGCTGGTGGGTATATATATTGACACACCATTTTTGAAAACTCTTCAACACTACCTACCAAAGCTGATTAAATGTGTATAATCAAAGTCCCAGAAATTCTACTCCTGAGCATGAAACCAACAGGAATGCACAGCTAGAGCCACCAAATGACCAATATTCACAGCAGCTTGATTTATAATAGCCATAAATTAATACTAACCCCAAAATTCATCAACAGTACAGGGACAAACAAAATGAAGCATATTACAGTGTTTCACACTGGTGCTGGTTCAAACAGGCTTGTAAGAAATGATTGTTAAATTTCCAGGAATTCTGCAAACTTGTTAGACTCAGCCATTATCAAAAATTAAAATATATAAGCTTACAATTAAATAAACAATATTTCAAGCAAAGGTTATAGTCAAAGCTCATAACTTGCTAATTCTGAGACTAAATTTTACTATCATCTGTGCTTTTGAGGTCATTTACAACTATTGTATCTGTATGGTGGAAACGCTACACAATGGCATACTACCATGCACCTCTTCTCAACTCTAGATTCAGCAACATCATTTTGGCAGCTTAAAATAGACATCATGGGAGTGCTTACACCATGGCAAGACTTCAAATCAGAGCTTTTTTTTTTTCTTTTTTTTTTTCCTTTCTCCCTTAAGAATCAGTTGTTAAACATTTCTCACACACACTACAGCACATTTATATACCGGGAAACTATATAACAATGAAAAAGGAAAGACTGTCATTTGCAACAAAAAGAACGAATTTCACAGACATGTTGAATGAAAGAGGTCAAAACAAAAGCGTTCATACAATATTACTTCATATATGCAAATTTCAAAACAGGCAAAGCGAACTATCTGGATAAAGGTAAGGATACAATTATCTTAAGGAAAGTTATTGACTTGATTGGGGCACAAGAGAGATTTCTGGGGTCTGAAAATATGTGTTTTTCTTCCAGTGTTCACGAATAGGTATATACATATGTAAATATTCATCAAGCTATACATTTAAAATTTGTGCATTTATTCATGTTAAGTTCTATCTCATAAAACTAAAAAAGCTGTAAATTAACACTAAAAAATTACTACTGAGAAATGCAAAATACAAATACTTATATATATTTGTATTCATGTGAATATAATATAAACACACACTGTCTTCTTAAAATGATTTTTTTAACTTTTATTGAAGTATACATAACACTGATGATGCCCTAATACAACTAAAATCTGTCAGGAAAAACTCTAATGCTAATAATGTTTTATATTCAAAACAGAAAGTTTTACTCTGAAAAAAACATGTATGTAGAGTGAATTCTTTCTTTAGAAACTTATTCCACCAAAAGGACTCCTATGCCAGTGAAGAATGAGTTCCCTCTTAGCCCATCACCACTGAACTACCAACCTGTAAGTTCTGTAAAAAGTTCCCTGCAGTCATCAGTTTTAAGGATTCCTGCCAGGAGGGCATGGTACAGCTTTTTTCCAGGTCAATTTTGACAGCATTGACTTTCCTTTGAAACAGCAGCAGTACGCAATCCATGATCCGCATGATGAGATGAGGGGGACGGCCCAACGTGCGGACAGTGGCGATGTCCGAAGGCCTGATGGTCTAGGGGATGAAAGGAAGGATCAACCAGCCTCAGATAGGAAAGCACAGACAAGCAAATCTTGCATGTCCAAATGCTGCTATTTCAACAGAGGACAGAAAACTGTTTTAAGTTAGATGCAGAGCCATGGGGTCTAGATGCTATACATCCCAAGGAAACACCATGTCCCAACAAATTCAAATTTCTACTATTCAAACTAGCAGTGAGAGGAAAGAAATGTTGGTGAGCAGATAAGGAGCTGTGACTTCTCTAAAAGTGCACAGATGGCTTTGTGCCAGAAAAAAGAAAGACATAATCTGGAAGAAAAAGAATAGTCAGCACATAAGTAGATTTCGAGGTTCAAAACCAGGAAAACTACAGTATTTGCAGTGCTTTTTTACTCATTAGCTATGCAGGTCAAGAATCTGCCTCTCTCTCTTAAACAATTCAGGCTTGTCACTGTGGACCAACACCAGAGGGTAGCCACAGGGCCGACAGATTGAATAATTAGAGGTTTCTTAGCTGGGAACTGACCTTTAAATGACGGGACTTGAGCAATATGAATTTTACAAAGCTCTCTCTTAGGAAAGTTCCATTCAATTTCTAGTACATATATTCTCACACATACACCTGTTTTGGTTGATAATAACTGCTCAATCACCTAAAACTCACTATGGAATAAGTATGGAAAAAATGTTAAATGTAAGAATTGGAAACAATCCTATCTCTAGGACAAATAGTATATATTCCTTCCTTCCAGATCTTCAAAACATCCATCTGGTTTGTATTTGCATCCTTTCTATCAAAAGACAGTAACCAATGACCTTCTAGTAAAAGAGAATGATTTTTTCTCCAAGGACTGAGGAAAAAGAAAAAACACTAAACTTGGTAAATTAGGAATGTAACTACATACCTTCAAAAGGTTTGTATATATATAGTTTTGCATTTGTTTTTTGTTTTTTATTTTGAGACCTGAGTCTCACTCTGTCACCCAGGCTGGAGTGCAGTGGTGTAATCTCAGCTCACTGCAACCTCCCCCTCCCAGGTTCAAGTGATTCTCATGCCTTGGCCTCCTGAATAGCTGGGACTACAGGCACACGCCACCAAGCCCAGCTAATTTTTCCTTTTTTTTTTTTTTTTTTTTTAAAGTAGAGACAGGGTTTTACCATGTTGGCCAGGCTGGTCTCAAACTCCTGACATCAGGTGATCTGCCCACCTCAGCATCCCAAAGTACTGTGATTACAGGCCTGAGCCACCAAGCCCAGCCTGTTTTAATATATTAATACTAGCATTTATGAAAGACAGACAGCTGGAAGTTAGGGTGAATGTGTAGTAGAGAACTGAAAATGGCAAACAAACCTTTATTTGAGGTGCACAGCTACAAAAGAAAAGAGAAAAATAGAACAGCAGCCAGTGAGGAAAGTAGGGTAGGGTCAAATTAAAGATATATAAAATGTAAGGGCCAGGCATGCTTATTTTACTTTAGATTTAAAAATAATTTTCAAACAGAATGGTGCTCAGCTGTGTTAGATGCCCAGGTAAAAGAAGTTGGAGAGGGGAACAAAAACTCAACCTGTTTCACCTAAGCATTAAAGTCCTCTTTTTTCTGTAGGCCAAGAAATATGACTGTTATATAATCTCCTATATGCTGTGGCAATAATAGAACAGTTATCTAACATCTGGAGATTTTTTTATTTTTGCTCTGAGCTGGTTAGAGTCAGATTAATATCAAGATAGGAAGAAACACATTCTCTGCACAAGATTTGTTATCTTATTTGTTGTATAGATTTAGGTAACCTGATATCAAAATATTAGAGTTTGTACATATCTGGAACTCTCTTAGTAAAAGTGAGTCTTCAAAACTGGACCAGCCTTTAAGGTGTGGCCTAGTTCACTAAACTCATTTCATTTTCTCAAAATCCAACCTCCTTTGTAATTTTGCCATTGGTGTACTGCCAAACAGTTTGATATGGTTTAGCTGTGTCCCCACCCAAATCTCATCTCAAACTGTAATCTCCACAGTCAAGGAAGGGACCTGGTGGGAGGTGATTGGATCATGGGGACAGTTTCCCCCATACTGTTCTCATGATAGTGAGTGAGTTCTCAGGGGATCTGATGGTTTCAAAGTGGCAGTTTCCCCTGTTCTCTCTCCTGCTGTCTTGTGAAGAAGGTGTCTGCTGCCGTTCACCTTCTGCCATGATTATAAGTTGCCTGAGGCCTCCCCAGCCAAGGGGAACTGTGAGTCTTTTATTTATAAATTACCCAGTCTCAGGTAACATCTTTATAGAGTGTGAACACAGACTAATACACAATTGTACTGTTTAATCGCATTGGAAGCCTGCTCAAACTCTCTCATTAATGAGCTACATCAGATCAGTAGTTCTTTATTTGGGTAATTCATAGGCAGAAAACATTGTATCTTACAGATCACCTACTCCAATGGCCTCAATGAATGAGTGAGGGAATGTTGCCTTAGAAAGTTGATGTGACTTTTCCAGCATTACATAGCTTATTGATGACAGAGTTGAAATGAGGACCCAGGACTCTTGACCACCAGTATATGGCACTGCCCAACATTGATGAGTGAAGAGAGTGAGATGTTAAGTAGAATATGCAAAACCCATAAAGAGCTAATAAAGTCTCTAGCAGAAAATATTACTTGAAATCACTCCAGTGGATAGAGCTTTGGTCTGAACCAGTAGAGCATTTCCTTGCTGTTATTAATCTTTTTAGCCTTAGTCTGCCTCTCAGGCCCTAAAGTTGACATCTGTTATATCACATAGATGCACCTGCAATGCAGCTTCTGCCTCTTCCAAAGCTGGTTTTGCTGCTTCCAGTTTTTCTTCAGCAATGGCTTTGTCTTTAGAGATGCTGTCCACAATGGCCTGGGCCCTGTCCTTCACCTTCTGTACCTCAGCCTTGACCTTTTCAGCAGCCTGTGCTTTCATTGTCACTTCTTTTAAGACCTAATTCAATATAAAGCAACAATACTTCATCAAAAAGTATTAAACATCCAGCTGAAAATGCACATTTTTGCCTTGATTTGTTGATTTTGTCCACTTACCCAGTCTTTTATACATAAAATTAAGAGTATTTTTATTCCAATGGAAAGTAATGTGTACTTTGATAGTTATAGCCACTGAATATGCATAGACCATTAACACTTGTGAACTTGGAATTCAAAAGGAATGTCGCACACGTGTAAATGCCCACCCACCATGTCGGCTTTATTGTTGGCCACTTGTAGCTCCTTTTCTTTCACTTCCAGTTCTTTACTCAAGGCTGCAACAGACTCTGAAGCTTCTTTGAGCTTTTCCAATCCAGTATTCATTCTGGGATTGAAAATCCAAGCAAACAATGTTAAAATGTGTAGGACTCGGATGCAATTTTCAAGTACTGGTCCACTAACGAGTGGTAATGGTTATATCTGAAGATTGCATGTATGCAAGTAGCAAACCCAAGAGGGTTTAGCAAAAAGGATACAGGTCCAGGCTTGACTCTAGACTGATAATATGTATGTTCTTCACAGACCACGTGCAAGAACAGTGAACCTGCTAGAACACGCATCATGAAATTAGGAACCATGAGGCTAGAATCTGTATCATGCAGGGAACATACTTAATGACATTAGGCTAAATGACGATAGACTTCAAATGCTTGAAGCCCTGTCATGGAAGAAGGAAAATAATGCCTGTTTTTTCAAAAGAGACCAATGAAATTAAAAGAAGAATGATGTGGGCTTAAGAAACAAATTTAAAGCCATCAAAACAGCTGTAGGAAGGAACTAGCTGCCTGTCTGAACCTGAACTAATGTGACCTTAAAGATGGGAACCCTCAGAGTCATTTCATGTAACCACCCACCCAGGGATTCCTTACCCTGGCTCATTCTAGCCATGCTCAGGAAGATGATCTGATTGTTCAGAAAAGCATAGGGCAGAGCAGTGACATTTGGAAGAAACTTCAGGGAAGCAGGGATGTTCCTTAGGCAGTGAACATATGCATCAACCTGGCTTTTCCCTTTCAGTCACTCAGAAGGGATGGGAAGAGAAGGGTGAGAAGAGGGAAGAGGGGATGTCTGCATTCGCAACTCCCTTCCAGGTCTATTACTTCTATCCTGAAGTCACTCAATATTATAGAAAGCAGTGGGCCACATAAAAACCTGGCAATAGTTTATCCTACTGGGCAAGGAATAGTCAATAGGCTCTAGAGGAAGGTTTCCCAACCTCAGCACCACAGACATTTGGGACTGGATACTTTTTTGTTGTGATGGAAAAGAACTGCAAGAAGTTTAGCAGCATCTCTAAGCCTCTACCCACATATGCCAGCAGTACCCCTCCCCTGCCCTGCCGCCTCAGTTGTTACACACAAAACTGTCTCTGGCCATTGCAAAATATCCACCAGGGCAAATCTGTCCCTGGTCAAGAGCCACGGCTTTAATATAGCTTTGTATATGAACGTCACACTTACCTGTTGGCCAGGGTCTGTACCTCCATATGCTTTTCTCCATATATGAGCTTATAGCCCTGAATAAAGGAGAGGTATGATTTGGGCGTCACATGGGTAGAACGTCGGAATCTCTGGAAATAATCAGCACACTTCTCGGCCACCCCATCCTGGAAGGAGCCCATGCATTGGACCACCTCCTTCTTGATTTCCAAACTGCAGTCAATATCATAGGAAGCGAGGAAGTGCTCAGACACTAGAGAGCATAAAGATGACAGTGTGTGAAATATGCATGTAAGTTACCCTTTGAAAACTTAACTGTTTACTTCTAATACTTAGACATTTCTTAGGAATGCAAACCATTTTTGTAGCCCCAGCTAGGTCGATCTATGTCAGTATTTTTGGTCCCAGGCCTATAACATCAACAATTTTATTTTCTGTTTCATATATAAAACTATAAAAAAACTTTAAACCTCTCATCACTCTTTGTTGTCTGGTGCTTGTGCAGAGACATCTCTTCTACACAGCTGCAGGTTCTGGTCAGCAGCCAACCTATTTTATGGCTTACATCAGGACAAATGGTACAAATAACTCAGAAATCAGTGCCCACCTGGTACTCATATTTAACAATGCCATTTATTTTGTCACTCAGAACCTGTCATACCCTTAGTTCCCCCTTGGCTCTGACTGCATTTGGCATGTGGAAACGCTCATCACGAAATTGTTTTATGCCGGAGTCATCTTGTTCTTAAATGTGGCAGCTGGTCATTTGTAGTCAGTTCTCATTTACAGTATTCTTTAAGAATGTTTGGGTAAAAAAAAAATCTCCTGTTGGAGACCTTTACCTTCCCCACAGTGCCAAATGGGGGACCAATTCTAAGACAGCCTTCCCTGCTATGGGAATAGGCTCATCAATCACCATGTACACCGAATGCCTGTTGCAGAGCCACCACAGAAATGGGTGCCATGGAATGAAAGACGAATGTGAAACTTGGTCTCAACCCCAGGGAATCTGTAAGAGTCACACATAATGCAGTTAAAATTATCACAACCATTTCTATGTATCTCAGAAGAAACAGCCTATGTATGTAAGTATTGTAAAGAGAAATATGGTCAATAAAATGGGAGAAAATGGAATCAAGTAAGCAAGGCTTAAAAAGGCAAAGACATAAAAATAGTATTTATCACCATCAGTACTCAATCACTAAAGTTCTTAAGGTTGTTACTGGGGGGCTGTATTTATATTTATGTAAATAATAGAGAAAATTCATCAGCTTGGTTACAAAAACAGTTTACCACACACTGAAAGGCAATAATTAAGATAATCAAAAGTCACATTTTCTCATATAAGTTAGCCAACCAGTACCAAGAACAGTTTAAACTCTAAGAAGTTCAAGTCTAGGCACTGGAACCATAGAACAATTCACACTTATGACACGTTTTGTGTAGGTGTTAACCACAATGGCTGCGGTATCTACCATGTGCCAGGCATGATGCCAAATGCTTTACTTGGCATTATGGGATATTCTTGGGGAAGCGCCCACTTTCTGAAAACTTTCTTGTATTTATCACGTAATTATTTTCTTCCTTCTTAGTGAACAGAGAGTATCAATAATGGTGACCTTATTCTTTACGTAGCAAATTGTCTTTTTGTCTCTCCAAAAAGACAAAGAGAATAAAATCAGGATGGATTCTAAGTATATTTTTCTACAGACCCAGGCTCTCTGGTGCAGGAAAGGTTACAGAAAGAAACAGAACACTCCCTCTTAGAGTGACCTGTACCTGCTGAGATTCAGTCAAGGGGCCAGAAAACCCTCTGTCTTCTTCAATATCCCATCACCAAGGCAGCAATGCCAGTTTTGGAGCTACCTCCTGGCATTTTACAACATAAAGTAAAGCATGGTTTTCTTTAAATGATTCATCAACAGATTCAGTCCATTTAATTTCATACATATAAAAAACTCACTTTTTTTCCAAAGGTATTTAAAAGTTATTAAAATTACTACCAAATCCAGTATCAGCCCTAGGGGCTTCTTTAAATTAGAAAAACGTTTCTAATTTATTATTAAAAGTATTAATAACGTAATACTTTTATTTATTGGAAATATTTCTTATGATCCAAATGAAATGCTAACACAAACAAATGATGTATTTCTTTCTAGATGCAGCTGGAGATAATAATTTGATTCAGAATCAATATCCTTAAGGCAACTAAAATAATAGTCTTTCTAGAAACCTTGTTGCTAATTTTCTAAAAAGAATAAATAACACTGAAATCTCTAAGTGTATAAGTACTTCTAATCCTCACAGGTGCTCTTCTTTCAGGATAACACTACACAGGTTACTGTTGGGTGTGGAAATGTTGATTTTCCCAACAAGATTTTCTATTTATTGAAGAAAGAAACCGTGTCTTATGTCTTCTAATTATTTTATCCATTACTACGACTAGCATAGTATCAAATATTTATATAGTATGCAGGCTGTAAATAGACTAAATTGGAGCTACAACCACAAAATTACTGGTTATCAAAAGGTTTAAAAATATTTAAATGTGCAGGTAAATTATGTAAAGCATCAATGTTATAGATACAGGAGGTCCAATAAAATGGGAAAATTTCAAATATTCCCAAGAGAACAGAGGAAGGTTGAAGGATGTGATGTATCTTGATTAAGTCTTGGAGCTTGCATAAATAAAAAAGATGGAGAAGAATATTCTTGGTAGAGGGACTTGTGTGAAAAGATAAGGATGACTAAAGCATATTCAGAAGGCAAAGAGGTATATCCAAAGTTGAACTAGAGAAAGACTGCAAGTGATCAAGGCCATATTATGGAAAGATGATGAATTTCTACACAGTCTGATCCATTCGTTCAACATCATAAGTATCAAACACCTGTAGCTGCTGAAATTGTGAACAAAGGATGTGTAGTTCTTGACCTCATGGGAGTTTTTAGTCCAGTCAGACATTAATTTAGTTTTTAGTCTAGTAAGCATTAATCAAATAAATAACACAACTAGGTACACAAATTACACACAGTGGTTAATCCCAAGAAGAAAAAGCACAGAGTGCTATGGAATGGATAACAGGGGACCTGGCTTAGTGGGGAAACGGAGGGAAGCAAAGGAAGATTCTCCTGAAGAGATGACATTTAGCTGAGCCAGCATTATCCAGACAAAGCAGGAGTGGGTGGGGAGAAATGGGAGGAGGACAGCATTGCATGGAAAATAACCGCCCCAAAAAAAAAAAAAAAATTTAAAAAAGCATATTCAAGGATCCAGGAAAACAGAGCAGGAAGGAAAAGGGACCTCAGGAGAGGCTGGCAAGGTAGGTAGGGTCAGCTCTTCCCAGCATGAAGGTCAAGCTAAAGGTTGTGCTTTTTCCTAGGAACAACAGGAAGACATGGAAGGTTTTAAGCAGAAACAAATGCACCTGTATTTGTATTTTTACCATTTTTCTGTCTGCAATGTGAGATGGATGGGGGACAGGTGAAAGAGGTGAAGAGATCATTAGAAAGCTATTTGGGTTTTCCAGGAGAGCAGCAACGATAGCTTGGCCTAGGATGTCAGTGAAAGGGAGATGACTTGGTGATGGGTAAGACTTGAGAGCTGGAGAAAGGGGAGGTATTGACGACAAAGGGGTCTCAGGTTGCCTAGTCTGATGAGCGATAATGGCCCTTCCTGAAAGGGGGACAGATTTTGAGTTTCAGACATTTTGAGGTTAAGAAACTTGTGAAGCATCCATAAGAATGGACCAGGCAGGCAGGTGACTACACAGATTTCAAGCCAGGAGACAGACTAGACTGGAGAAAAAATTGATGGCACATATTATAAAGGAGGCTGCGGACGAGCTTTCCTGGGGAGAGCCTCTGGAGTACAGAATTGAGTCTCTCTTGCGTCTGTTGACAAGTCTGTCTTGTCTTGAGTCTGTCTAATAACATCATGAAGCTCAATATGTACATTCTGAATAAATGAACAAATAGATTCATGCATCGAGGTCAGGATATTTGCTAGTGACTGAGGAAAAAGAAAGGAAAGTTTCTCTGCCTTCTGTGTAATCTTGGTTTGGGTTGGTGTGATAAGATTTAAAAGAATGGGACAATGAGAAATTAACAAAGGAGAGATCAATAAGACCTTTGTCTACAAAAGAAGAGACGCTGAAACAGGAACTTAACAAAAAGAGCTTCATATTAAATCATCTTAATTATGGCATATTACAGTATCTGTCACCTGAAATTGTTATTTTTATTGTTAGTGATAATACCTTACAGAGCATTTTATGAAGTACTTGCATACTGATAACTGTATTTCATAATAAACTTTAACACAGCTCTGAAATACTCTTGATCTGTGCTCTGCATGTATATCCTACTTGAGTTTTAAAATCTTACCTCCAGTTATATTTAAATTTTTATGGGACTTTAAATTTTAAATCACTGGTCTTTTCTCAAACTTTATAAGACAAAAGACAGAACTGTGCTGTACATTTATTTCGCAAACATGTCAAAATAGTCTGTGTTTAAAAGCCACAGATTGAAAAACCACTATTGTCAATAGTGATGCACTAAGAATAAAACTTCCCCAGTAGATAAGAATTTGTTTTAAAAATAGGTAATTGATAGATGATCAATAAATAGATGATGGATGGATGGATGGATGGATGGATGGATGGATGGATGGATGGATAGATAGATAATAGAGAGATAATAGATAGATGGATAGATAATGGATGGATAGATATTAACAGATAGATACTTAGATACATAATAGAGAGAGAGAGAGAGAGAGAGAGAGAGATAGATAGATAGATAGATAGATAGATAGATACATAGATAGATAGATAGATAACCTAGGTTTCAGTCTCAGTACTGATTCCACTAACTTTTCCACCTATGGCAACCTCAACTTCATGCTCTTCAGTTTTTCCTTCTCTAAAGGGCATCTCTTGGTTAATCAGTCATTCTCAGACGGGGTACCACAGAGCTGTAGAGGAAAAGGTGAGGGCAGCAGAAGTGGGGAATAAGAGACTGAGGCTCCAGAACACTTACTCCCACAACCCCCTCCACTTTTCACTGTGTTATCTACTAGGACTACTTGTAAGGTATTACTGGGAAATAAGGTTCTTCTGCATAAAACATTTTTAAAAGTTTGAAAACTACTGTCTCGAATCAGGGTTCTCCTGATGTTCTGATGTAATAGGGATGAGACCTGGGTATCTGCATCTTTTAAAATATCAACAGACAATTTCTCACCAAAAACTTTAAAAAAAAAACAAAAAACAAAAAGCTAAATGTATGCTCTCTGATCTCTCCTCTACTATTTTTATGTTCCCATTTCATTTGCAAAGTAAGGAAGCACTAATGATCCATGGCATGGAAGATCAGAAAGAAGCAGAAGCAGCAAAGGGTCCAGTCAGAGACCATGCTGCTTAACATCTTTTGTCAAGGACAGAAACCAGCAGAGAATTGCTGGATAATGTTTTCCTCTTTGATTCCCAGCAATGCAGCCTTGAGAAGGAAATAGCCAAGAGATACTTGGCTTTAACTACTCTTGGGCTAACAAACCTACTTAAAAAGAACACAAATGCTGTCCATGAAATTAAACCTCTGTGCCTTCCTGTGACATCCTGGAGCCAGCCTGCAGATCCAACTGAGGCAGAGACTTCAAGCATCCCTGATCAAAAACTAGAATCCTTGAACACTAACCCAATGGGATACAAACTGAATACCTCATTCTCTAAAACCCACACTCTGAGAAAAATTAGCTACCGAACAAGAAAGAGCATCATCTTATAATAGAAATTCTCAAATATTGGACAGAATGAGTTACTCAACTCAGCAGAGAGAGAGCAAACAGCAGAGAATGTCAGTAAATAAGTAAACACTATAAACCAGAAGCCTGGCATACACATTTCCATACTAACCAGCAACCAAAGCATCTTTGGGCCAACGGCTGAACCAGTCAATTGTGCATCCTGAAATTAAGGCAGGGAACTTCAAAGCTCTGTTTCGAAACTTCTCCCCCACTGGCGAGAAGCAGAGCACAATATGAAGGTTCTGTCGGACCCGACTCATGAAGTAGTCGTGCAGGTTCTCATTGGTAGGCGGGCACTTGGGGAATTCTTTTTTCATGACTGACACCAGGTTGCTATTAATTTCATCAGTTTCATCTCGCGCAAACAGATTAGAGACCTTAAAAAGAAGTACAAGCATGCAAATTCAGTACACACACAGGAAAATAGATCAAAATGTAGAGCTTAATACATAGAATGTCTTTTCTCCGTTTGTGTTCTCGAACTCACCTAACGAAAATTAACTGAAAGTTTTCAAGATGAAATACACCACATTTTAAAATAAACAAATGATTCTACTATTAACTGCAAAGTTGTAGCTCTGGGAGGGAGTAAACGGACATGCCAAATATCTAATTAGCTTTCTTTCTAACTTTGCCCTTCTGTTTTTTTCATTTGTTACTTGGAACATTCACTGATGTTTTAAATGCCTAGCTCCAAATTTTGATGTAGAGTTTTATTCTTCAAAAACCCAATAGAAAAACCCATCCTTCATACTGATGACTTAATAACCATTCCCAATAGCACTTTTCATGCCATTAACGGAAGAAAATATGTAGAGCTCTAAGTTGGAGGAAATCTGAAGGGATAAAACACATAAAGAATAAATGAATTCCTACCTCACCTGATGATAAAACATTGTTCATATATTCCAAAAATGATTCATCTTTAATCTCATTGTCTGTAAAAATAAAAGTGATTCCTTTGCCTTGCTGACCAGCTGTTCTATACAAAACCTTCAGATCTTCCATCAGATTTGATGTGTTGTAGGATCTAAAGAAATATTTTCATTTTGTCATTAGCCAAAATGTTTTTATGAGAGGGAAAGAACCTTGTAACAATGCATTATGCCATTTAGCTAACAAAAAAAAAAAAATGCTAATTTTGTTCCATCATATAGGTATGTGTTCTATATGAATGTTACTGATTAATTTTTAAAACTCCACATTTCATAAAACATTATAATTAATGTTTTTGCACAAAAAAAACGATACTGAAAAGTCAACCTGGAACAAAAATAAAATTTTTACCACAACCAAATGTCATTACATTTCAAAATGTATCATTTTGAAAACTTTTTGACAATGATAATAGAAAAGTCAAATTCAATTACTGATATTTGATTGGCAATGGGTATTTGAGATGACAATTCACAAATTAAATAAATGCAAGCGTTGGTTATACAGGGTGGGTGAGATGCCATGCTATAAACAATGCCTTCCTCATCCCCCAACACCATTATCATCATTGCACATTTGTATTATACATAAATGAGCTTGTTTTCTGAGCAATCAGTAGACTGTACTAGAATACCTGGAAATGTTATGAAATATCCCACTCTGAAGGTTCTCTAATTACCCAAAGTGATCTTTAGGTGGAAATAAACCTACAATCAAGAAATATTAGAGAGTTCCCACTGTGGAGTGCTACATTATGCCAAAAGTATAAATAAAATTATCCCAATTCTGGAGACTCAGACTTACTAAATTATTATTCCTACTTTAGTCACTAAATAAACTCAGAATTCAGAGTGCAAGAGCAAATAGCCATCTGATTTTTTAAAAACTAGTGAATACTTAACTCTACCTTTTTCTAACTTCTGTAACCTATACCCTAGAATTGGAAATATCACAACCATGCATCAATACTTCTAGAAGACACCTAGAGAAGTGAGATCTGAGAGATCAGAAAACAAATACTTCTAGAAGACACCTAGAGAAGTGACATCCGAGAACTCAAAATACAAATACTTCTAGAAGACACCTAGAGAAGTGAGATTCAAGAGATCAGAAAACAATTCAAAGATACAGCCTCCAAAAAAGAAAGAAAGAAAGAAAGAAAGAAAGAAAGAAAGAAAGAGAAAGAAAGAGAGAGAGAGAGAAAGAAAGAAAGAAAGAAAGAAAGAAAGAAAGAAAGAAAGAAAGAGGAAAAGGAAAACATCTCACCCAGCTTCTTGTGATATGGGGAAAATTTTCAACCCAGTCTCTTAGATCTCAAGGGCCCACTGCCTCAAATAATATGACCTAAGACACCTAACAAATAGTCGTGCTTCCCAAGTGAGAGGCTCTTGCATCTCAGCCTTAGCCACATGGCTGTACAACGCCTTTAGAAGTTTGATAACATCTTGAAAGCTATGAAAAGGAAAGAAAGACCCTGGCCCTTCGTCTCATCAGCAAAGGATCTTTCCTGGTGTGACATGTAGAGGAACTAGTCTGCCACAGTGAGAGTTGTGGTTGAATACGCTGGCTGCGCCGTTGTGGTGCAGTAAAAGTCACACCAGACTAGACACTGGAAATCATACAATCAATTCCCAGATAGATCCAAGATGATGGGCAAGCCACAGCCTCTCTGAGCTTCAGCGGCAAGATGGGCTGCTGCTATCTGTCCTACTAACTCACGAGGTTTTTTTGAAGATCAAATTAGCTCATGCATATAAAAGTGCTTTGAAAACTACAAGGTTTTATACGAATGTTAGGAACAAAAATTTGATTCCCATCCCTTTCCTGTACAAGTTGTCTTTTATGTAGCTTGGTTCCTAACCAAAAACTAGAAGAATCATATGCAATGTAACTAGAATTATTTCTCTCTGTCCCAGTACTTGAATTAAACAGTAATTTTTGGATTTATTCTCCAAGAAGAACCCTATAGGTCAGACAAAACAAAAAGTGTAACAATAGCTTAAATATTTGAATCTCCAAACCCAATGCTTAGTAACTTTCAGCCTTCATCCTAGCAGGTATCTATGGGCCTCCCTCAATGAGACAGGTCAGCAACATGTTCTGCTCATCAGTGCCCGACTTCTTGCTCCTACACCTAGAAATTGATGTCAAATGATTTTCAGCCCAGCCTAACTTCCCAAGCTGGCCTCCTGGTTCTAACCTTATCTTGGTTAATCCTGAAAAATATGTTTCACCTCTCCGAATCACCTCTGTTTATCTCTTCATGTTCACTTTTCATGTGCTAATTATGTTTTCTCCCTGCACTACACCCACATCTGTGGTCAACTCCTCTGGGTTTCCCTGTCTTGATAGGTAGTTTCCCAAACCAGAAACCAGGATGCACCAAGCCCTGAAGCTCCAACTTCCTGATGATCTCTTCCATCTCCACTCTCTATTCTCCATTCTCACTGCTGCTACTCATGACACCATCATGGCTTGCCCAGACCCCCGAAACAGCCTTATAACTATTCCAATTTAGTTCCGTCTGTCTATTTTCTGTACATAAAATGTACTTGACATGTCCTCCCTAGGGGGCAACTCATCAAAAATTCCTATTGCTCTGGGATGAAGTCTGACTTTTTATCTTCACTTTAAAAGGCCTCCATTTCTCTTCCATTCCCACTTGCCACTCTACACTGTACACTCTGCAGTATTTAACTTCTTCCAGGACTGACTTCACCTGCGCTGATTCTTCTGCCTGGAACACACTTTACTGTTCTTCTGCTCTCAGTCTTCCCATATCGAGGCTTCAGTTTAATCACTTTCTCCAGGAAGTCTTTTCTAATCATCCCCTAGACTAGGTTGGGAGTTCCTCCCTCAAGCTTCAATAGGATTTGGTCTGCATATATTTCCTTATCACGGATGGTGCCTATGAATCACACCTTATTGGGTGAGTTGGTTGCTTAGTTGTCTGTCCCCTAGAGTTGCTACAAAGTCCCTGACGATACAGCTAGACTCACCTCGCTCACCTACTGACGATACAGTTAGACTCACCTCGCTCACCTACTGACGATACAGTTAGACTCACCTCGCTCACCTAGCCAGGGCTTAACACATAGGCAGCGTTCAATAACTATTTTGAAACGTTTGAATGAGTAAACCAATATTCATCTATTTTTCCACTGTATTAACATTCTTGAAATCTGAATTAACACTCAATAGGGACAATTTTCTTCTGAAATTCACCAAAAGAAGTGCACGTAAGACACTGTCATATATAACATAAAAGCAGGGAGGTGGCTACTAAATGAGAGTTTGAAATATTTCAAAAGCAAATTATGAATGTGAAATGTTTATGGTCTCTGACAAAGGTTGACAGAGGAAGATGATAAATCAACATTCAAGAAGGAAAACGACTGTGACTCTTTATATGTAAGGGAAATGCATTTGAACTTCAAGAGGCCTCTGAGCACCTTTTATCAAAATCCATGTTAGGTTAGTTAAAGTAAAAGCTCGTCACCTCGTCAGGGTGATCTGGAAGGAAATGTAGCCGGCAATGAATGAAGCCAACCTCGTCAGGCTCTGCTTTCCTGATCCGCCCACCCCGACCAGGAGGGCATTTCCCCGAGGAGTACGAATGACACGAGAGATCTGTAATACAGAACAAAAAAAGCATGTATCTTTCAACATGTAAATGTTCTATTTTTCCTATTTATTTATTCACTAAATGAATGAGGTCTAATTATTATTTTGGAAGACACAGGTGTCTCAAGATCAGACTGGAGATATACTGGTTGAAGGAATGACGTCACTTCTGAAATATGGAACAGTGCTGGGCTGCATCAGATGGGGTGGGAACCATGGGGTGCGCCTTTAGAAACCAGGAGGACACCAGGGCAGAAAAGTCAGCACACAGCCCAGACTGTGCTTGCTCTGGCTTTTAAAGGAGATATCTATCTAAAGGGGACTTTGAGGATTCCTGTTAGTTGGTCCGACCTAATAGAGTATGATAGGAAGGAGAACAGAAATGTCAGAACAATGTCTACCCTTGGCATGCAGGGCATGTGGTTGATTAGAAGATCCTCCACATTTGAAAAGCGTTCAAATTTAAATTGAAGGGAAGAAAACCCCCCAAAATAAGGTGATATGCTTTGGCTGTGTCCCAACCCAAATCTCATCTAGAATTGTACTCCCATAATTCCCATGTGTTGTGGTGGGAATTATCTCCCTGTGGGAGATAACTGAGATAACTGAATCATGGGGGCGGCTTCCCCCATAGTGTTCCTGTGGTAGTGACTAAGTCTTATGAGATCTGATGGTTTTCTCAAGGGTTTTTGCTTTTGCATCTCCCTCATTTTTCCTCTTGCTGCCGCCATGTAAGAAGTGTCTTTTACTTCCGACCGTGATTCTGAGACCTCTCCAGCTATGTGGAACTGTAAGTCCAATTAAACCTCTTTTCCTTCCCAGTCTTGGGTGTGTCTTTATCAGCAGCATGAAAATGAACTAATACATGTGGTATAGATGTTGGGATTTTAAAAAGAAAGAAAATGAGCATAAACAACCTCCTATTACTTGGCAAAGACAGTGATACCTAAGGTATCTACCAATAAGTGATTATAGATTGGCCGGGGGGGCCACTTCACGCTGTTCAATAGCCCCAGACTATTCCACAGCCCCCTTGTGGCAGAAGTCCATGTTTATTTGGCTTCGTTTGTGTTGAATGGACTAATGACACCATCAGTCTTCCAAACCTACCCAGGAGAGACTGAGTATAGAATTCCCCTTGATGTTCTTTATACCTTATGTGAGAACTGTTTCTCTTTCCCTCCTAACTGCAGTTTGAGCCTAGGGGTATCACTGCGATGTCCACCTTTCTTAGAAGAATGATAGAGGCTAGGCAGGGACTGGAAGGGGGTCATTTCTCCACGGCCAGGGAACCTTCCTGTAGTCACTGGGGCTCTGCATTCTGCCAAGGTTTTGTTAAACATCCTTTCTCAGAATTCCCTCACTAGCTGCAGTACATTCTACTCCTGTTGAAAATATGCCTGGTTTTGAATTACTTTCCCCAGTTTAGTGTGAACCTTGGGAAAAGGATAACATATTTTCCATCTCTATGTGGACCTGAGAAGCTGCAGGACTGGCAAGTGCATACGCCCTGTTTTTCCAGCCTCCTGCTTGTCTCCTCTATGTGATTTTCGCCAAAGTCATTGTGAGTGGAGAGGGTCATATATGCCTCTTCAGATCTTCCCCTGACACAGCTTCAGGAGGGAAAGACAGGGCAAGTAAGGAGCTACTGGAAGCCACACTAGAACATTCTGTGTCTTTCCTTGCTTGCCACTTTTCAACCATTATCATTTCCTTTGTTTGATGTGGGTGGATATATCAAGATGTTGTTAATTAGGTATTAAGGAATCTTCATCCCAAAACCTTTACTTGGAACTGGGCCAAGGTCTTATATTAAAATGTTCTATTCTCAGTTTCCAACACATGGTAAACCCGCAAAACATATCTGACAAAGGAACAGACACATGAACAGAGAAGGCTTGCAAAGCAGACTCAAAACCTCATAATCTAGTTAAATCCAGTGAGACCCTCAAATACGGCTATTTTGTCCTGTTATACGCAGATTGTGTGATGGAGATATGCATTTTCAATTTCATCAGAGAGTATTCAAAAATGAATAATGTCCACCCTGCCCCTCAGGAGCTCACACTGGAACAGGGGACAGAGGCTGGGGTCATGAGCCACGGTGAGCACTGGCACAGAGACAGGAGTGATGGGCAACCAGAGGAAAGAATGCCGGGAAACATCCCCGCCTGGGTGAGGTAAGTCTTAGGTGCAGAGCTGGACTTTGACCTGGATGACTAGAAGTACATCACACAAAGAAGGTGGCGTGCCAGGCACGGGCTGAGCTACCTTTTCAGAAGGAGTGAGACACACAAAATCTCAGAATTAGCAAAAGGCCTGCAGTGTCCCCTGAGGTGAGAACTTCAGTATGGGGTATGGAAATATCAGGAAATAAGGCAGCAAAGGATTATTTAGGACTTATCTGGGGGACTTGATTAAATTCCAAACAATGTATCCAGATTCTCTGTGTGGTTCTCAGCGGTGGTCCATCCTGTCAAGACTGAGGTCACTAAGACGGGAACCCACCCGACTAGAGTCTAATCTTCTGATAGGGAGACAAACACACAGACAGATAAACTTTCCACAAGGTAGTATGGGTGGGGAATGTGTACTGGGGAGGCACTCCAGGATCATGATATGTTTACACACCAGCAGCCTGTTGTTCTGGATCACACCCCAGGCAGAGCATGACTCAGGAGGCTGGCTGGTAAGCAGGAACCAGATCATGCAAAACCATGTACACCATGGTTTGAACTTTCACCAAAGAGACAAAAGAGGCATCACACAGATACGCTGTATTGAAAGAAAATTGAGTTTCTAACTAAGAAAGGAACTGAGAAATAGGCTTGGTCTCATATCATATCCTGTTTTGCTGCAGTTTTTGCCTGCAATTCTGACTCTTGGCTTCTATCGTGCCGTGTAACTAGGCCACGTATTTCAAGGCTCACAGCAGCATGACACAGAGTGTGGATGCGCTGTGCACAAAAGATGAGAGAAGACAGGGCCAGCCGGGAAGTGGAGAGGAATGCAACATTTTAGCTCAAAAACTCTAGTCACGGATTCTTCGGCCAATTCCAGAGCAGACAGACAAGAGGCAGAGAGTGAGAGAAAACACCAGCGAGGCCCCAGCACCGAGGCCTTCACACCTCCAACATCACACCCAAAGTGTTTCGAGAAAGCCTCCTCACTCTTCATCTGGGCTGCGAATCATGGAGAAAACGGCAGTTCTAGTGAACTTGCTCAAGCACGACACTTAACATAAATAACTGCATCTTCAGCTTGAGCTATGAAATCCCAGGTCAATCGGATTCTGTCTCTAGCAGGCAGGCAATTTGTCATGAAATTGCCTTTGGTAATACTCATTTAGAAAATACATTTTCCCTTTTCTTTTTCTTCCTTTTAATTATTAAAAATGATGTAATGTTTATTCTTCCTGAAACAACACTTAATCAACTATAAATTAAGAGCTCATTTCAAAATGTTATTTATAGTTGGCTGTGGAAGAATATTTGAGCTCATAACTCAGTACAGATGTCTCAGATTCTGTGAATCCACAGAGTTGCCAAGCCAAGTGCCCTCGTGCTGGGGAGACCTAACTCCCGAACAGCCTCTCTGTCTTCCTTCCCTCTCTCTGACTCACTCCAGCCTTGCAGAAATGCTTTTCTCACTTTCTTGCAGGGAAGAGGAGCAGACAGACAATCCCTATATTCAGCGGAATGGTTGACTAGATAACCTCTAAAACCCCCTCCATTTGTAGATTCAGTAATTTCTAGAGGTGACAATTTGTAATTATGCAGTGGTTCCTCATGGTTGAACCTAAGATCATGGAAGACAAGGTCAAATCATTTTCTTTCTAACTGAAAGGATGCAGTCTGGAAAAGTAGTTGATATCAACAAAGTGAGAATATCAGCAATGGATTTTAAGTGGCACTATCTTGCACTGTAGATAAATTAAGTCACATACGTTTTCAAACAAAATAATACATTTTACTTCCAACCTTTCAGGATCAACTGTTCTAAAAATGGATACGGTAATGACTCATATCAGCAGTCGCTAACCTTTTTGGCACCAGGGACCAGGATCGTGGAAGACAATTTTTCCACGGATGGGAGCGGGGGTGGGTGATGGTTTGGGAATGATTAAAGCACATTACATTTATTGTGCAGTTGATTTCTATTATTATTACATTGTAATTTATTATGAAATAATTATACAGCTCACCATAATGTAAAATCAGTGGGTGTCCTGAGCTTGTTTTCCTACAACTAGATGGTCCCATCTGAGGGTGATGGGAGACAGTGACAGACCATCAGGCATTCCGTTCTCATAAGGAGCGCGCAACCTAGACCCCTCATATGAGCAGTTCACAATAGGGTTTGCGCTCCTCTGAAAATCCAATGCCGCTGGAGGCAGAGCTCAGCTTCGCTTGCTCACCTGCTGCTCACCTCCTGCTGTGCAGCCCTGTTCCCTACAACCCACAGACAGGTACTGGTCTGTGGCCCAGGGGTTGGGAACCCCTTCTCACATGACAAACTAGAAGATAAATTATTTTTCCTGGTGGATTTCATTCTAACACAATTTTCATCTCAAAGTCAACCGTTTATACACTATTTTTAAATTATTGTTTCTAATCATGGTAAAATACACATAATCTAAAATTTACCACTGTAACCATTTTTAAGTATATTGTTCAATATCATTAAGTACATTTACGTTGCTGCGCAACTATCAGCACCACTGATCTCCACAACACTTTTCATCTTGCAAAACTGAAGCTCCATACCCATTTAACACTAACTCCCCAATCCCCTCTCCACCCAACCCTGGAATTCTCCATTCTACTTTTTGTCTCTGATTTTGGCTACACTGGGGATTTAGATGAATAGAATTATACAACATTTACCCTTTTGAGTCTGGCTTACTTCACATAACATAATGTCCTCAAGGCTTATGGACTATTTTTTATAGGATATTCTTTGCATGATACAAAAAGATGCAGACTTTGCCTGTGCTCTGAACTCAGATGTCAACCATATTCAGCCTCCGTGATGAAACCATGGAGCTGGAAGCTATATAGAAACACTGAATAAAATTATCACATCACACATTTAAAGTACACAGGCTCTTATTTCAAGCCTATAAGGTGCGACATGTTGCATTCAGCTTAGAAATTAAATTGGAATATAGCATGGAGTCTAATTTTAAACTGAAGATTCTCCTAGGAAATGAAAATAAAAGAGGGAGAGGACTCTGGCGTGAAACCAAATGTCTGTCACTACCACAAGGCACTACTCGGAGTGGCTACCGTACCTTGACTAAGTGAACCATGGCATCTGCAAAGAACACCATGTCCATGCCAGCGCCACGGATGCTCTCATTATACAGCTGCAGGAACATATTCAGACGCTCTTTTAGGCGACTAAAAGAATCAATGGGCTCATACATTTTAGGCATTTCAGCATCAGCCTCTTCAGACGTTTCACCTTCAGTGGGAAAGAAGAATCAGTTAAGTTTCTTCAAATACCTGCATTTTGACTTCAACCTAAATTAATGCAATCAAAGCTCTACAGCCTAACACTGAATAACATTCATTTTAAGCAAAATGCCATAGTGTGCATTTTGCAAAAACAGAAGAAGGGAAACAATAGAAGCATTAGGATTTTTGTGATCATATGCAGTCTCTGTACTTTCCTATCTAGCAAGTCAATTTCAAATAATGTTATCGTCATTGAATTGAATTTGAACCCACAACTGATTGTTGGCATTTCAAAGCTCCTCCCAGATATATTAGCTTAATGGTCAAGTGAAAGTCAAAACAGTACGGACTGAATATCAGAATCAGGAAGGGAAGTTAAGAATTACATAACTGTTTGATAAGAATAAAAAGAAAAAATTATTGCATTTACTCAGGAAATTTTTATAATTCACGAATCTCAGGTCAGTGGTAAAAACAGAAGTGACTTAGAATATGGGGTGGAGGGTTGAGAGAAATAGAAAAATAATTTTCTAAATGAATAAACACATTAGATTATTTCACTAGGGCAAGATGTATTAAAATCAATATACTTTTTTTAAAAAATAGAAACATATAATATACCAGCTTGACAATTTTACAGTGTTAACTACAAAGCAGAGGCCGAGGTGGGCAGATCACTTGAGGTCAGGAGTTCAAGACCAGCCTGACAAACATGGTGAAACCCCATCTCTACTAAAATTACAAAAATTAGCTAGGCCTGGTAGTGTGTGCCTGTAGTCCCAGCTACTCAGGAGGCTGAGGCAGGAGACTCGCCAGGAGGCCAAGGTTGCCATAAGCCAAGCTTGTACTCCAGACTGGGCAACAGAGCAAGACTATTTCAAAAAAAAAAAAATAATACCCAAGAAAGAGTTAAATGGGGCATCTATAAATTCACAATCTATTAACATTAGTAGCAGGGAAAAAAAGGGACACATTAGCTGAATATACCAATAACAACTTAGAATTTCACCGGATATGAGAAGAATGAGTGGATCTTTCAAATCTTACAGCATATAATTATTTTCAATGACTGTGTCCTAACATAATACTATATTAACCTTTTGATAACAAACAAGGAGATGGTTTAACACAATCATTAAGACTGACCTATCTGCAAAGCTCTCACTAATCAAATTCCAATAGCCACAACTCTCATAAATGCCCAAATGAAGCTTTGAGAAATAAAGTGTCTCAATGACACAAAAGATTATGCATTTGTGTCTAGACCCTCCCCCAGGCCCCCAAAATGCAGCAGTTGTGCTTTGGTCCTTGAAAAATCATAATCTGATTATTTATCCTTCTGAATTACAGGGAATAAATTACATAAATTTTAATTACCTTATAAGATGCCCTTACTCTTACAGGATTTTTGTACGTGTTTGACCTGATTAAAATAAGATGTGTCAGCTTCTTTCTGTAGAAGGACCATTCCAATTGCATCGCCAGAAATAAACATTCTTTTGCAACTGTCACTCAGAAACTTTTGACAGATCACACTTATGGTTATCAAATCTAGAGAAGCACTGCCTAGTCGTTTCCAATCATGTTCAAGACACACATAGCATGTTTTTAAACATGCTTTTAAAAATCTGCAAATTAACTTAAAATCCATCCTCAGTGTTAGAAGAGGTTATTAAATGAAAGAAAAACATTTTTAATTAAGCCTAGTTACTTCTGATGGGGAAAAAAGTGGAGCACTGCCTCTTTTCATAAGAAAAGTCATGTATCCCCTGGAACCATAATCACAAAAGCTTGCCCCACATCAGCCATCTCATTCCAATTACATTTAATGACCCTCTCATGCATTTGGAAGTTTTCCTTTTTATTTTCAACATTCAGGATGACCTGAATAATAATAATTATCATTATATTTGCTGCCTTTCATTTAGCAGTGACTACGGGCCATAGACTGCCCAAGCCATTCTACAGATAACATTTCATGGACTCCCCGTGGTGCATGTGATGCATATAGTAACACTTTTACTTTTATAAATGAGGAGAGTGAGGTTCAAGAGAGTACCGAGATGCCCAGCTAATTAATGTATGGTGGATTCCTTCCTCAAACTCACCTCTATCTGCCAGACTGCAAGTCCTGTGCACTCTCTCCTACCCTATCCTGCCTCCCCACTCTACTTTAATATCCAAGCACGATATGCATAAAATAGTTCATCTTTAAACTCCATGATCATGCATTTATTCACTCATCCTAGTTTTACTGAGCATCTACTATGTCTCAGGCTCGTATCAGTAAAGTTTACTAGAAAGAAACTCAACACCCATAAACTGAATCTTCTGTCTTCATATTTCCCTTTAGGGAACACCTTTTGGGGAATTCCAAATTCCACTTCAATAGTTTACCTGCAGCTTCAGGTGCATCTCTCAAGAAATCCACAAAATATGTGTCAATTCCACAATCCACCGAGAGTTTTTTCTCTTCACCAAACTCCTCCTCTACCAAACTTACTAAAGCCTTATCAAACCAGGTCACATCACTGGACACTGTGAAACGGTCAGCTATAACACGTTTACATTCATGCTTCCAGAGCTTTAACAGGTCCTGTTGAAAGTATAATTAAAATGTGTTAGTAATTCCTATTATGCCGTAACTGGGAATTCAAGTTGACAGTACTGTAGAGTATTATTCTTCCTGACTGAAGATGCAACATTTTAAAAAGTTAGGGTTCAAATATGCTCAACTTCACTTCAAATGGGTATCATTTAAGTATATTAAATAGAAAGTAGTCTGTTCATTTGCAGTCTCTGAATTAAGAAGAAAAAAATCCTCCAACAATAATATTGAAAATTGCTCTGATCAATCAACAAACTAACATTCTACATAAGAGTCTTCAGTTTGTGAAAAATTAGTCTTTTAATAAGACATCTACATTCATGTGGCCAGAGTACAACATAAGATATAAAACATGAACAACTCTCATGTATACAACTGAAAAATTACAAAGGTATATATATATATATATATATCTTCCTGACTGAAGACATGCAAACATTTTAAAAATAGGTCTGTAAATATGCTCAACTTCACTAAAATGGGTATCATTTAAGTATATTAAATAGAAAGTAGTCTGTCATTGCAGTCTCTGGAATCTAAGAAGAAAAATCCTCCAACAATAATATTGAAAATTGCTCTGACTAATCAACAAACTAACATTCTACATAAGAGTCTTCAGTTTGTGAAAAATTAGTCTTTAATAAGACATCTACATTCATGTCAGAGTAACATACATATAAATACAACATGTATACAAAATTACAAAGGTATATATATATATATATATATATATATACATATTGATGTAATCAAGTAATGACAAGTAATCAACTCGTCCAACAACCAACCCTATCCAACTGACCCTGTCCCAAACCCGCTGCCCAACTCTTTTTTTTTTTTTTTTTTTTTTTTGAGACGGAGTCTCGCTTTGTCGCCCAGGCTGGAGTGCAGTGGCACCACCTTGGCTCACTGCAAGCTCCACCTCCTGGGTTCACGCTATTCTCCTGCCTCAGCCTCCGAGTAGCTGGGACTACAGGCACGCACCACCACGCCCGGCTAATTTTTTGTATTTTTAGTAGAGATGGGGTTTCACCATGTTAGCCAGGATGGTCTCGATCTCCTGACCTTGTGATCCGCCCGTCTCGGCCTCCCAAAGTGCTGGGATTACAGACTTGAGCCACCGCGCCTGGCCATTACAAAGGTATATTAACTTAACACAAAGTGAATAAAATTTGTGGCAAAAACTGGATTATCTGAACAAAGGAAAGCCAGCACCTAATCCAGATAATCCAAGGGCCAAAGTTAACTGAAAGTTGAGGAAAGTAATTGCTCAATACTCCTGTTTATATAGCAAGAACAACAAATGTATGTGTAAGCTCATTATTTTATATGAAAGATTGGTGGAAATTTCTTAGCTTCGTAACATTTTTCAGGTTACAGATTTTTAAGCCATTGCATTACTAGTGATAGAATGCTATCTGGTTGCCTGAATATAAAAGGAGTTCAGTGAAGTATATTCAATGATTCAGTTAAGACAAAAGTTTATTATAACATCAATTGCTGGAATTGTTTATGCTGATTTAAAATAAGCATCAAAAACGGATACTTCAATAGTAATCTTTGAGAACTGACTTCAACAATTCCATTAACTTGTAAATAACTTTGAGGGAAAAAAATCAAGTTAAAATATTCATGCTGCTAAACAGACTCTCACGTCTCTGTAGGAAGGAAAGTGAGTTTTCCCCAAAATATCATTAACAGATGCTTCTCAAAAGAAGACATACATGTGGCCAACAAACATATGAAAAGAAGCTCAACATCACTGATCATTAGAGAAATGCAAATCAAAACCGCTATGAGACACAATCTCAAACCAGTCAGAAAGGCTACTATTAAAAAGCCAAAAAATAACAGATGCTGGCAAGGTTGCAGAGAAAAGAGAACACATATATGCTATCGGTGGGAGTGTAAATTAGTTCAAGCACTGTGGAATGCACTATGGTGATTCCTCAAAGAGCTAAAAGCAGAACTACCATTTGACCCAGAAATCCCAGGGTATATACCCAGAGGAATATAAACCATTCTACTATAGACACATGGACGTGAATGTTCACTGCAGCACTATTCACAATAGCAAAGACACAGAATCAACGTAACTGCACATCAATGGCAGATTGGATAAAGAAAATGTGTTACCTATACACCATGGAATACTACACAGCCATAAAAAAGAATGAGATCATGTCTTTCATGGAAACATGGATGGAGCTGGAGGCCATTATCCTTAGCAAACTAACGCAGGAACAGAAAACCAAATACCACATGATACGTCCCTACCCAAATCTCATCTTGAATTGTAATCCCCATAATCCCCACATGTCAAGGGAGAGACCAGGTGGAGGTAATTTAATCATAGGGGAGGTTTCCCCCACGGTGTTCTCCTGATACTGAGTGAGTTCTCACGAGATCTGAGGGTTTTATAAGAGGCTCTTCCCCTTTTGCTCCGCACTTCTCCTTCATGCCATCTTGTGAAGAAGGTGCCTTGCTTCCTCTTCATTTTCCACCATGATTGTAAGTTCCCTGAGGCCACCCCAGACATGCTGAACTGTGAATCAATTAAACCTCTTTTCTTTACAAATTACCCAGTCTCCAGCAGTTTTTATGGCAGTATGAAAACGGACTAATACACCGCATGTTCTCACTTATAAGTGGGAGCTAAATAATGAGAACTCATGAACACAAAGATGGAAATGATAGATACTGGGGTCTACTAGAAGGTGGAAGGTGAGAGGAGGGAGAGGAGCAAATAGATAACTTTTGGGTACTGGGCTCAATACGTGGGCGATGAAATAACCTGTACAACAAGCCGCCATGACACATGTTTACCTATGGAACAAACCTTCACATGTACCCCTAAACCTAAAATAAAAGTTAAAAATAAATCAACAAATAATTAAAAAAGAAAAAATCATCAGCAAGTTTGGTTACCTATATTGCAAGCATCTGGGACAAAGGTGGGTTTTTTAAGTAATCAACACTTGTGCTTAATGAACAGTTTTGTTGATATTTTAAGTGTCTCTGTGTGTTTATATGGAGAAATCCCCTGAAACCTATTTGCTTAATTACTTCTTTAGCTCTAGAAAGGCTTAAAGAGAGGCCAACCCTGTCTTAGCCTGGGCACATAGGCTACGCTTTGGAACAAAAGCATACTGGATTTCGACATAGCGTTCTTAGTTTGAGGGAAATTCTTATAACACTGAGAAATGTCATATTCAAGTGTGTGTACAAATGATCATTTTTCTGTTAAATGAACTTTGTAATCTGCTGCCTCTCTTCAATTTTACCAATGTATGTAATTCTTTTAGTGCATCCAGTTACATGGAAAAGAAAAATCATGGATGATTATCAACAAAATGGGATTTTTAAATTTTGAATATTTGTTATAAAGATAATTACTTTTTAAGTTAAAATGTCAAGCTTAAAATATGAAGACTATTATATAATAAAATCCACAGTGGTTGTTTCCATTATTTAGTATAAGAAACATATCTTCTTCTTAGACTAGAAGTGGAAGAATAAAAATTATTTCTTTTATTCTATTCATTAAAAAGTAATTGTGTATACAATGCTCTTAAACACAAACCTAATTGGAATTTATCATTGACATTTTCTGACAGAATTTACTTCTTTCATTCTGTTAGTTAAAATGCAGTAAAGAAAAGAATACCCATGCTGGAACATTCCAAAATACGTTCAAAGTAAAAAATAAAGTAGTAAAAATATTTAGAATATATGATTAATAGCAATGTTATTTGTTTTTCTTTCCTCAGTGTCACCTACATTTGGTTCCTTGATGACCTCTGAAGTACTGTTCAGCATTCCCTGCCAGATCCGAGAAAGATCTCGTAGGTTAAACACATAATGGAATTTTGCAGGGGTAGGAAGCATTTTCATCTTGGTCATCTGCCATAGTCGGCGTGTCAGGGGCACCAATTTTGTGACAGAATCTCTCACTTCTTCCGAGAAACCCCTCTGAGTACAGTAGTAGCCTACCCCAATCACACCTGAAAAGGGGGAAATTACAGCATTTTGATTAGCCATTCAAAGAAATTAAATAAAAATGAGAAGCATTATAGCATAGGGTTTGCACACATGTCATTAAACATTTTAATAGATAATCATATATAAAAGAAAAGTATGTTAATGTTCTCTTGCTTTTTCAAATACAGTATCCCAAAAAATAGATACAGGTTTAAGAAAATGAGTATTCAAAACACTGAAAAACTGATTAAGAAATACTGCTGAAAATTCTGGCTGCACCACTTCAATATTACTAAATGGGTAACAAAGAAAAATGTATGAAGTTACCTTATAATAAGATAAGAAAAATATTTTTATAAGTCTTCTAAGGTTTCTACTTTCTGTCATTGCCTTTCCACGTATTACAAAGTACTTTCATTTACTTTATATGTAAAATTTTCCAGGCAATAAGGAATAATTAAAAATGATAGCATTCTTTCTGGTCCATTTTACTTTTCCCAAGCTTAGATAATTCCAATGTCTGTTGGTTTCCAGACCTCGCTCCCTGCTGTGACCGAAGGGAGATTACTGCCACACTTGACTAGCCTGGGGCACCCAGATGACATTTTCGTTTGCCAGAAATTAATTAGGGTAATCCTGATGAGCTTTTTCTCAATAGCAGCTTCAGAAATTGTAAACTAAATACTTAACATAAATGTGTTCAAACCTTTACATTCTTTCTGCACAAATAAGTTATAAGTGCATTATCATTACTCGGGTAGGCAAACATGGTTACTTATTTGGCTAGTGATTTTTCAGCTAAATTATCTATGAAATACTCCATATTTAATCAATAACTTATTACAATCCAGTAAATTACTCTGAATTTCAGACTGTGTCTAATCTGCACTCTGGGTGCCATTATTTCCTTGGCCAAAATCATTCTATGGGTTGGTTAAAGTATCACCTACATAAACTTTTGACATGGAACATAGCAATCCAGACCTCAAAACTATGTACCCATGAGGAAACAATCTCATCTGCGGGGAAACAATTTCATTTCTATGTTCATGTAATGTTAAACCTCCTTGCTTAAGAAGTCAGAAACAGTTAAAGAAAACCATAGATGGAAATGATCTACCGAGGCATCCAAATCAGGACACACCTAGAATCGATCCCTATAGGAAATGAAACACGCTGCTTGAGAGTGATGGAGGCTGCAGACCAAAGAGCCACCCAATGCGCTTTCTGTGTGGCTCTCGGGTGAAGATTTCCAGGAAGGAACACAAGCAGGTGTTCTTCCTCGCCCTCCCACCCCACGACCTCTCGACCTTTACTTTACCAAAGATCTTGTCCACGGAAGCATCAGAGGGCAACGTGCAGTTAAATATAGAGAACTGCCTCTTGAGTCTTTGGGGTATGTCATTGCGTCCACCACCAGGATGGATCATGGCTGCCAAAAACTGGATGTCCACGATGTTGGTGAACTCCCCAGGCTTCTCTAGGTTATAGAATCCATTTTGTTCCATCAGCTGTCGCACTATCTCATTCGTAACCTAAGAAAGACAACTTTCAGAATTAAAGCGTCATTCTTTTCCATCCCTGGAACCTAACTCCTTGAGTGTTTCCAAAGAATGAACTTTACTGGAATTCAGACATTATATCTTGAAAAAGTAAAAAAAGAAAAAATTTAATTTTTAAAAACTCTTCAAAGAATAAATCAATACCAAATTAAACAAAATGCACAATAGAAAGATGATACCTGGTCTCCCCACTCATTGATTATTGGCATATTCACATCATCAATAAAAACAGTCATCTTCTTTCCCGCAGGAGGGCCATATGTTGTACCCATTCGTTTATCCACATAGCTCTCTATTGTCCTCTGTTAAAAAAAAAAAAAAACAACAACTGAAACATCTGTGAAAATATCCCCTAAAACATGGTCAATTATTTTAAAAAACAACAAAAACTGGTAACCTTTGAACTGATATGAATTACTTAGAAAAAGCCAAATTTCCCCCCTTAATTCTAATAAATTCTAAAGTACCTAAAATATCTTGTATAACATTCACAAACTTTGAAAATCCAGTTGAATTTAGAAGGAAATGAAATTCTAACCAATGTGAATTTGAATGGAATGAGATTCTTCTGTCCATTTCTAAGAATTTACTTTTGTCTTATTAAGCTTCTGTTCGTGACACTATGTTCCCCATTATTCAAAGTCTTGCTAATAGTTTCCCTATAACCAGCAACAAAATTAAACAAAGCTACTGTGTGAGAAGCTTCTGAGGTCTGCACTCTGAGCTGCACAGCCCATCACGGTCTGAAGGCTGAAACTGGCTGCTGTCACCTGGCACAGCTCATACCCACTCTTTTGGGCAGATGCAATTACACTGATTGAATTCTCATTCCCTGACACAGAGTGAAAAAAGCCCACTTACGTCTTCTCTCTCATTTTTACATTCGGAGCTTAGGTGGTGCAAGAGAAGACTATACTGCACTCTATAAAAAACCTTCCTTAAGGCTGGGCGCGGTGGCTCATGCCTGTAATCCCAGCACTTTGGGAGGCCGAGGTGGGCAGATCACGAGGTCAGGAGATCGAGACCATCCTGTCTAACACGGTGAAACCCTGTCTCTACTAAAAATACAAAAACAATTAGCCGGGCATGGTGGCAGGCGCCCATAGTCCCAGCTACTCCAGAGGGTAAGGCAGGAGAATGGTGTGAATCTGGGAGGTGGAGCTTGCAGTGAGCCAAGATCACGCCACTGCACTCAAGCCTGGGTGACAGAGCAAGACTCTGTCTCAAAAAACAAAAACAAAATAAAACCAAAAAATCTTCCTTGCAGTACGTAAAAAGATATTAAAACGAGAAGAACTGGGACACATTTAAAGCAGTGTGTACAGGGAAATTTATAGCACTAAATGCCCACAAGAGAAAGCAGGAAAGATCTAAAATTGACACCCTAACATCACAATTAAAAGAACTAGAGAAGCAAGAGCAAACACATTCAAAAGCTAGCAGAAGGCAAGAAATAACTAAGATCAGAGCAGAACTGAAAGAGATAGAGACACGAAAAACCCTTAAAAAAATCAATGAATCTAAGAGCTGTTTTTTTTTTAAAGATCAACAAAATTTATAGACAGCTAGCAAGACTAATAAAGAAGAAAACAGAGAATCAAATCGACGCAATAAAAAATGATAAAGGGGATATCACCACCGATCCCACAGAAATACAAACTACCATCAGAGAATACTATAAGCACCTCTACACAAATAAACTAGAAAATCTAGAAGAAATGGTTGAATTTCTAGATACATACACCCTCCCAAGACTAAACCAGGAAGAAGTTGAATCTCTGAATAGGCCAATAACAGGCTCTGAAATTGAGGCAATAATTAATAGCCTACCAACCAAAAAAAGTACAGGACCAGATGGATTCACAGCCAAATTCTAACAGAGGTAAAAACAGAAGCTAGTACCATTCCTTCTGAAACTATTCCAATCAATAGAAAAAGAGGGAATCCTCCCTAACTCATTTTACGAGACCAACATCATCCTGATACCAAAGCCTGGCAGAGACACAATAAAAAAAGATAATTTTAGACCAACATCTCTGATGAACATCGACACAAAAATCCTCAATAAAATACTGGCAAACCAAATCCAGCAGCACGTAAAAAAGCTTATCCACCATGATCAAGTGGGCTTCATCAGTGGGATGCAAGGCTGGTTCAACATATGCAAATCAATAAAGGTAATCCATCATATAAACAGAACCAACGACGAAAAAACCACACGATTATCTCAATAGATGCAGGAAAGGCCTTCGACAAAATTCAACAGCCTTCATGCTGAAAACTCTCAACAAACAAGGTATTAATGCAACGTATCTCAAAATAATAGGAATTATGTATGACAAACCCACACCCAATACCAAACAGAATGGGCAAAAACTGGAAGCATTCCCTTTGAAAACCAGCACAAGACAGGGATGCCCTCTCTTACCACTCCTATTCAACACAGTGTTGGAAGTTCTGGCCAGGGCAATCAGGCAAGAGAAAGAAATAAAGGGTATTCAATTAGGAAATGAGGAAGTCAAATTGTCCCTGTTTGCAGATGGCGTGATTGTATATTTAGAAAACCCCATCATCTCAGCCCAAAATCTCCTTAAGCTGATAAGCATTTTCAGCAAAATCTCAGGATACAAAACCAATGTGCAAAAATCAAAAGCATTCCTATACACCATTAACAGACAAACAGACAGCCAAATCATGAGTGAACTCCCATTCACAATTTCTACAAAGAGAATAAAATACCTAGGAATTCAACTTACAAGGGCTGTGAAGGACCTCTTCAAGGAGAACTACAAACCACTGCTCAACGAAATAAAAGAAGACACAAACAAATGGAAGAATATTCTATGCTCATGGATAGACGGAATCAATATCATGAAAATGGCCATACTGCCCAAAGTAATTTATAGATTCAATGCCATCCCCATCAAGCTACCAACGACTTTCTTCACAGAATTGAAAAAAACTACTTTAAATTTCATATGGAACCAAAAAAGAGCCTGCATTGCCAAGAAAATCCTAAGCAAAAAGAACAAAGCTGGAGGCATCACGCTACCTGACTTCAAACTATACTACAAGGCTACAGTAAGCAAAACAGCATGGTACTGGTACCAAAATAGAGAGATAGACCAAAAGAACAGAACAGAGGTCTCAGAAATAACACCACACATCTACAACCATCTGATCTTTGACAAATCTGACAAAAACAAGAAATGGGGAAAGAATTCCCTATTTAATAAATGGTGCTGGGAAAACTGGCTAACCATATAGACAAATGGAATCTAATTAAACCAAAGAGCTACTGCACAGCAAAAGAACTACCATCAAAGTGAACAGGCAATCTACAGAATGCGAGAAAAATTTTGCAATCTACCCATCTGATAAAGGGCTAATATCCAGAATCTATGAAGAACTCAAACAAATTTATAAGAAAAAAACAACCCCATCAAAAAGTGGGCAAAGGATATGAACAGACACTTCTCAAAAGAAGACATCTATGCAGCCAACAGACACATGAAAAAATGCTCATCATCACTCTTCATCAGAGAAACGCAAATCAAAGCCACAATGAGATAGCATCTCATGCCAGTTAGAATGGCAGTCATTAAAAAGTCAGGAAACAACAGATGCTGGGGAAGATGTGGAGAAATAGGAGTGTTTTTACACTGTTGGTGGCAGTGTAAATTAGTTCAACCATTGTGGAAGAACAGTGTAGTGATTCCTCAAGGACCTAGAACTAGAATTACCATTTGACCCAGCAATCCCACAACTGGGTATATACCAAAACGATTATAAATCATGCTACTATAAAGACACATGCACACATATGTTTATTGGGCACTGTTCACAAAGCAAAGACTTGGAACCAACCCAAATGTCCATCAATGATAGAGTGGATTAAGAAAATGTGGCACATATACACCATGGAATACTATGCAGCCATAAAAAAGGATGAGTTAATATTCTTTGCCGGGACATGGATAAAGCTGGAAACCATCATTCTCAGCAAACTATCAAAGGAACAGAAAACCAAACACCACATGTTCTCACTCATAGGTGGGAGCTGAACAATGAGATCACTTGGACACAGGGCAGGGAACATCACACACTGGAGCCTGTCTGGGGTAGGGGGCTGGGGGAGGGATAGCGTTAGGAGAAATACCTAATGTAAATGATGAGTTGATGAGTGCAGCAAACCAATATGGCACATGTATACCTAAGTATCAAACCTGCACGTTGTGCACATATATCCTAGAACTTACATAAATAAAGAAACAAATAAATAAATAACTGAAAAAAGGGACACTGGAAGGGGAAGGAAGAGGATGTGAGGAGAGGACTCCAGGCTCTTGTCTGGTGTTCTCGTGTCCATGGTAGCGCAATGTGGCTTGGGAATCAACTGTCCTTCAAAATGTATGCACTGAGTAACTAGAGTCTAGCACTGCAAAGCAAGCAGAAAGGGCTTCGAAGTTCTCAGACTCCAGAAGCTTCAAAACTTGAAAGCTCATTTCATTTCTATCACTGTAGGAATCTACTAATGCATGATTTTAAATCATGTTAAAGATGTTGTATAAATACAGAAGTAAGTGGAGGTATATTAAGACAAAATAAATTCTCCTTCTCTTATCCAAAGAACATTTTATTTCATGACAAAAACAAACCAGTTAAAAGTGACTTTTATGAACAAGATATAACCACAAAATGAGATAAAATATAAGACAAAAAAAGCAAAACTCTATACAACCATCCTTGAGAATCTTCACAGTAATTGCACATTGTACGTTTTCGTCATGATTTTATTTATTTATTTATTTTTTTGAGACAGTATCTTGCTCTGTCACCCAGGCTGGAGTGCAATCTTGGCTCACTGCAGCCTCTGCCTCCTGGGTTCAAGTGATTCTCCTGCCTCAGCTTCCCAACAGCTGGGATTACAGGTGCCCACCACCACACCCAGCTAATTTTTGTATTTTTAGGAGAGACAGGGTTTCACTATGTTGGCCAAGCTAATCTCAAATTCCTGACCTCAGGTGATCCACCCACCTCCGCCTCCCAATGTGCTGGGATTACAGGCATGAGCTACTGTGCCTGGCCTCATCATTTTAATGAATAATAGCAAGGAATGTGAAAATTTTTCACCATTTTTAAATTGAATGAGATATAAATGTATCACAACTCATTCAACTACAAATCTCCCATGAAATAGTACAATGGCAAAAATAATTTCATATCTCCCCTACATAAATGCAAAATTGTTTAATGTACTAGGCTAAATTTGCTCTTTTCAATGAATTTAAATGCACCTCCT